TCTCTAAGCTGTGTCACCCTCAGGTCTATGGTTCAATTATACTTATGCCATTTGGCACACAGCTGTTTGTGGTCACTTGTGACATTCCCTCCAACGACTTTCAGATCTGGGTTCTTCTGTTAGATTTCCACCATGATCTCCGTAACCCCAACCCCTGGGTCACCACTTTCCACTGCCTGTGATCTTGTGTAGTAGCTGCACCATTGTCTATACAACCTTTCTCCCACTCCCAGTTGGAACAGTTCTCAGGATAATGGAGACATCAGGAGTCCCAAATAATGAGGTTATTGCTGGTGCTGATTTTGCAGGAAGCTATTCGCTGTTAGGTCTGTCAACGTCAATATTATTTTCCTTGTGGGACCAGTGGAATGCATTGAGCTGCAAGTGAATTTGCTCTAAGCTTCGTTTATGCACAGCTCACTATTATCCCTGCATTATCAAAGCTTTTGCAACACTATATAAAATGACACCTGATCATTGATGGAGTTGTTGATCTGCCTGTTAGGGTGCCATGTCGGTGCAAAGCACTAAGCTAGAAATGAGTTTGCTCCCAGCTTAGTGCATGCACTGTCCTGTCCCATAACCTTTGCCTTCCTACACAAAATATTGCCCCATGTAGCTCTGGTGGGGATCTGGGCTGTGCAATCCACCCTGTTCCTACACTACTTGTTTGAGGTTTGCTGCTGTGTCTCTGCTCCTGGTAAAACTAAACAAATCAGCAGGACCTGCAGTTCATTGCCTGAGTTCATCTGCTGATCTCTTGGTGAATTCCCCTTCCCACATGGCTGCTGGTGGAGCTCTGGCTGCCAGTGGAGCTTTGGTCACCAGTGGAGCTCAGTTCACTGCTCACTGACCGCCATTGTGGTATGTGGCAACACCACTCCATTATGTTCGCTGCTTTCCCATGTTCATTAGTCACCATGTACCCCTCTGCCATTAGTCTGTCCTTTCATATTTCTTGGAATGTGCCCTCTCTGCTTCACCCTGGCTAGTGTTTCTCTGTCAGTTTTAAATACGTCCTTACCCTATTCTGTTTCTTGATTCTAGACCCTTCATTCCTAGCTTGCCTTTTTGGATCTACATAGAAAATGATCTAAACCTGCTCTGAAACATTAAGATAAATTTTCATCCTCAATTAATCTCTTCTCCTGATCAAATTCTTTAAATTCTTCAGCTCTGCCTAATATAAGTTGCTTTCGAGTCATTATGCCATCCTGGTCACCCTCCCACAGAAAGACTTCAGTTTTATTTCTAAGGTGTGTGTGGCCCTGAGCATGTCAAGTGCTTTTGTGCAGTTTTCAAAATACTTTCATACCAAGGAATTAAGGTGACTTTTAAAAAATCTTTATTTATAATTATTATTCCTTTTTATTGGAGAGGCAGATTTATAGAGAGGAGAGAAAGGGAGAAAGATCTAAGATGATTGTTTCTTTCCACTCCGACTTTCCATTTCCCCTCCCATGAGGTGATAGTGGAATGATTATGAGCACTTCTGGAACAGAGCTTAGAAGAAGCTGAACCTGTACTATATCTAGTTTGGATTTAGGAAAATATATATTATTCTACCGTTTCCATGTGTGGTTAACGGATTGCTAGGTGCTAGGGTATAGGAACAGCTTCTAGGAAAACTCCTACCTCCTCTGTGCCCATTGCACAGTATCATAATAATAAGTTGTAGGCATGTTAAGACAGCTAGTGAAAATGTTATTTTTATGAGTTTTCTGATGTTTAAAAGATTTTTAATGAGCCCAGTACGGTAGCCAGGTGGTTAAGTCCTCGCCTTATAAGTGCTGGAATCCCATATGGGCATTGGTTCGTGTCCTGGCTGCTCTACTTCCCTTCCAGCTTCTGTTGGCGGCCTGGGAAAGCAGCAGATGATGGCTCAAAACCTTGGGATCCTGTACCAATGTGGAAGACACAGAAGAACCTCCTGGCTCCTGGCTCCTGGCTCTGGACTGGCTCAGCTCTGGCCATTGGAGCCACTTGGGGAGTGATCTAGTGTATGGAAGATCTTTCTCTGCCTCTCCTTCTCTTTATAAATCTGACTTTCCAATAAAAATAAATAAAATGTAGCTTTTTAAAATGAATACAAATGTGCTGTACACTGAATTGTACTTACAATAAACATTATTGTGCATAATTATACTTCAATAAACTTAAAATGTGCTGCAAGTTCTTTTCTCTTGTTAAATACTCTTTTATGTCTAAAGTAAAATGAGAAAAAATTACATAGCTGAATAGCTACAAAAACTTACAACAAATATTCCACTTCAGGGTAAATTGAAAGAATCTTCTTTGAGATTGGGATTTAAACACAGTATCACTGTTTTGACCTTTGTTAAACATTGTGTTAGAAGTTACAGTGAGAGTAGAGTCAATAAGAAGCAAAGGATATACAAATCAGGAAGGAAGCAATAAAACCAAGATTAGAACAAGAATTCAGCAGTTTCTGGATACAAAATTTAGTATGCAAAACCCAGTTCTATCTTCATATTATAGTAGTAATTTAAAATAAAATACATAATTTATAATCCCATATAAATATATCTAGTGCTTAGCAATATCTGAAGCAAAGAAAATGTAGGAGGTCGATTGCAAAATTGACATGAAATTACAAAGGTCAAAAACAGCCAATGTGCTCTTGAAGAAATAAATGGGGAAATTCTTACTTATTAGATGGCAAAACGTATTATAAAATCACAGTAAAGAAGGCAGTGGCATGACAGAAAAGCATAGGGAGGTGACATGTATACAAACAGTCAATATAGGCTAGAGGCTCACATTCTAGATTAGAGAAGAAAGTGGTGTACATTTCAAAATTGGTACTGGAATAATTTGTTTTCCATATGTAGCAATAGTAAATGGAATCCCTAGCTTACAGTATACATAAAAAAGCAACTCCAGGTGGATTCAAAATATTAAATGTGAAAGGCAAAAATATAAGATTTTTAGAAGAAAGTATCCTCATCTCTGAATAGTGACAGATTCCTTAAGAAACACACTAAAAATGTATAAATTATATATTTTAAAAGCTGATAATCAGAGAACACTAAAATGTAAAACTTCCATTTACCAGAAAATGCTATTAAATGAGCTAACAGAAAAGCTAGAATTGTAATTAATAAAGAACTAGTATCGGATTACAAAGAAAATCCTGAGAATCTGCCAGGAAGAGAAAATAAAATGCCAGGAACAAGGGCCCAAATCTAAAATATGTTCATCTCAGAAGTGAAAATTAAATGACCAATAGTTGAAATAAAAGACATTCAAGTGTGAGCAGGTGTTGTGGTGTAGCAAGTAAGCCACTGCTTGGGCCACCTGTAGCCTGTTCCAGAGTACCTAAATCAAGTCCCAGCTCCTCTCGCTTTGATCAAGCTCCCTGCTAATGTACCTGAGAGGCAACAGATGATGTCCCAAATACTTGGGCACCTGTCATCCATGTGCGATACCTAGATAGTTCTTGGCTCCTGGTTCCTGCTCCTAAGGCCTAGTCCAGCCTTGCCTGTTGTAAGCATTCAGAGAGTTCATCAACAGACGTGGTTCCAACAGATGAGATTCAGGCAATCTGATAAGGGTGAAATGCAAGTATCCTAAGCAATAGCTTAACCACTGAACTCAGTGCTGGGCCCTAGTTTAATGAATTGGTAACATATGTGTGTCATTCCATTAACATTGCTCCACCATCATATCTGTCAACAGTAGAATGAATAAGCATATATTCAGTGTAAGAGCATATAGCAGTGTAAATGACCTACTACTACATAACAATGTGTATGAATCTGAAAAATCCAATGCTGGAAGAAGAAATTTACACAAGCACACATATGTACAGGTACATGCCATTTATAAAAAGCTCAAAAAAATAGGAAAAGCTAGACAATTTGTTGCTTAGAGATGCACTTAAAATTTATAAAACTATAGAAAAAAAAGCAAGTGATGATTACCAAACTTTCATGATAATTGCTGTAACTGGTAGGGGAAAAGAGGGATGTGGTAATGGAGGAGCTTACCTGGGTAGTGAGCAGATACATATTCATTCCTTAAAATTATTCTTCAAGTTGCATGTAAATGCTCTGTGCATTGCTCTGGATGTTTCACCACCTCAGAAAAGGGATGTAAAAACCAGGGCCCAGAATTGAATACATAATTATAGCCAGTCCATCATAATGGAAGACAATTACCTCTCTAGTTTTAAGTGTTCTGCCCTGATTATTTTGAATCAAAGTGTATGAGAGTATTTTACAAGCTTCATGGAAAATGAAATTAGAAGATTAATCTATTTTGTTGTTAAAATATTGAGATCCCTACATAGATTTTTTTTTTTTTGGAATACACATTGCCTATTAAGTTTTTGAAGACCCTCACATTTTATACTTGTTACTTTTGCCTTTATCCTATTTGACCTTTGTTTCCACATGTCTGCAGCTAGCCAAGCTCTCCCTATAGCTGCCATCCACCAGCTGGAGTCCTGTGCTAGGGGCACTGCTACATTGAAACTTCTAAGCTAGGTGGTTGAAGTCCCAGAGGCAAGGAGCAGATTTGACAGCTCCTTGGAAAGTCCACTTCCAAGCATCTTCTGTAACACATTCACTTCCCACCCTGCTGCACCAGAGCAACCAGATGCTAACGCCCACCTAATTATATTTCTTCCAAGAAAATCTAGCAAAGTTCTTATCAAAAAAGGTAATGCTTCACGTGAAGTCATGTTGATAAGATGATGAGCAAGTGCATTTTCACCCTTGAAGATTGCTATTTCCTGTAGAGGTAAAAACCCTAGCAGGGAAAATCCCTGTGGTTCTCACAAGTAGGGTTGGTCCACAGAAACTGATAACAGTTCCTTCCAGAGAAGGAAGGCAGAATAACATTATTCATCTCTGGGAGCCTTGTGGGCACCTGCGCATTTTGCACATCCTAAAGATTCATAGACTGAACCAGAGCTCCCCACCCTGAACTTCTCATCCTGAAGCCAGACTGCAGCATCGGCCCTGCTGCTGAGAAAGGCTCCAGGCCACCTCCTAACAATGGGAAACTTGGTGGTTGATCACTGGTTCTCATTTTTGTTTCTGGTAAGTGATGTTTCAATTTGTATTAATTACATAAAGAGACAACATGTTTGTTGGGATTTGTAAATTATTTGAAAGGGAGAAGCCATGCCAGTTATGGGGTCCTTAGGGAGGTATCAGTTTAAGAAGTTAATTCTGACCACAATTGAGGGCAGAGACAAATACTATGTAATTGTTCATAATGATGAGTATGGGGAATTTCAATCTGTTCTCATTCTGTCTTCTTTTCTCTTCCATCTCACTTTTAACCACTACCCTGGAGCACTGATTTTTCCCTATCCTTCCCAGACTTTTCTCACATAGATTTCCTAGAATCATTGTCTTTTTGAGTTGAAAGTGATCTTAGAGACCACTTAGTTCAGCACTGCCTGCTGGAAACATATTGCAAGACACATACATAATTTCTGAACTTCCCAAGGGCGTTTACTGAAGAAGCCAAAAAGAAACAGCTCAATCCAATTTTAAAAGTATCATTTAGCCTAATTTATCAAAAATATTATTCATTTTGAATGTAATACATGTTGAACATAGAAATGAGGTCTTTTATATTCTTTTATTGTCCCTAAGTCCTTACAATCTGATGTGTATTTTACATTCATAGCACATCTCAGTTAGGAGCAGACACATTTTAAGTGCCCAGTAACCACAGGTGGTTAGCGACTACAGCATCACATAGCAGGGCAGATATAATCCAACTCCCTAATTTTACAAGGGAGAATAAAATCCAAGATCGTGCAGTAAATGTATTGAAGAGCTATCACTGAAAGCCAGCTCCCCAGTGTTCAGCCCAGAGTCTCGTCACCATCTCAGGTGTGCACAGTCTCTTCTCTTTGCCCTCTTCCTTCTCTGTTCTCATTCTTTCATTTCTGAGCCGTACCTAAGACTGGGCTCCACCACGTCCCTTCTCTCTGTCTTAGAATATCATGTTTCACTCTTTACAGGGCTCTTTGTCTTTTCTCCAGTTTTTTTTCTTTGGGTTGCATAGGACAGCCCAGATGCACCAACTTTTGGTTTGACATTTAATGAAAGCCACATGTTTATTTTATTAGGTTATCTCATAACATATTTTGAGTGTTCAGTGCCCTATATTTAATTCCTTTTGCATGGTCACAGAGCATATTAGTTTAGGAGACAGGGAATCTGGCAGGTACTTTCAGTGCTTGAGTGATTTTGATCAAATTGTCTTTTTTAGACTTTGGGTCTCCTGTGTGAGTATGGGAGTCCGAGGGGGAAAGTGAGTGGAGGGGGAAATGGAGTGACTAGATTAGACATAAATATCAGGGTGCTTCTACTTCTCAAACACACTATGGTTTTTCAGCCTTCATTCTCTCTCTCTCTCTCTCTCTCTCTCTCTGTTTTGCTGGTGGTGACTCTCATATTTAATTCTCCAGCTTAACCCTCCACCCCCCCCCCAGCCTCATCCTGCTGACAACCTCTGATTTTTTGCTGTTTCTGGCATATACTCCTACACACTGCTGTGTGCATGTGCGCACACGTGTGTAGTGTTATTTTAAAAATTACCTAAGAAATACTTTAACTTCTCCTTCCTCTCAGGGGTTGTGCTCCATCTTTTCTCCATTCATTGTGGAAGGAATGATAGCCAAGGTGGGAAGTGGATTTCCTTCCTCTTAGAAGTACTTCCTCATTTATCTTGTTTATGGTTGCAAATAGGATTCAAATTCATTACCCTGTGTCCGTCTTGGATCCTGGAAATTTTCTACTGCCCCTAAATCAGTTTCTCCTCCCTGTGTTCCACCTGCTTCTGATAGCTGCTACTTGGCAACTCTCTTTTTCCTTTGGAGTTACAGATTCTTTGGAAGAAACTTAAATCTAGAAAGGGTGTTACTTGAGGAAAAGAGACAGAAAGAACTTGACTTATAAGGCCAGTTTAGCAATGACTCAACTCTGTAGCCAGCAGTTATTGGGCTCTTACTGAGTACCAAACATTGCCTGCATCATTCCACATACACTATATTATGTAAGTATCTTTGTGTGAGAGATACTGCTGTTAACTTCATTTTATAAGTGAAAATATTGAGGTTCAGAGATGTGAAACCATGTACCTAAGAGTACAGAGCCAGTAAGAGCTGATGTCAGAATTTGAACCCAAGGACTTTGACTCTAATATCACACTTTAAATGTTATCTTGCTAGATATGAATGAGAAATCAAGATTAAGAAATTCTAAATGGGTCATGTGTTCAGCTAAAAGCCCTTTACCTGTTGGTTGATATGGCTCTGACCTATCCTGGTGAAAGGGATACATTCTAAAGCCATGCCAGCTCCCTGGAGACCTGCTAAATTACAGACAAGCACTTCCAAACTAGGGCTCCAGTGCAGGTCTCCAAGACAAAGGGCAGTGGGTTCCAAATTTCTTGTTCAACCAATCGTGAGATAGAGCTCGGATCAGGCAAAGCAATCTTAGAAGCTAAAATGAGTCTAAAACCACAAGAGGTTAATGTGAAAGGCTTAACATCTAAAAACAGGAAAGTGTGTGTCATGTTGTAATTAAAGAGGCAAACCCATCTGGAGTTGTTGAAGCCTTTTCAGATGCATTTTGTTACAGATGTTAAATTTAGTCCCCGTTTCCTCCCAAATCCATTATTCACTTGCTGCCACGTTTTTGGTGCAATCATTTGAACACTCTAGACCAGAAATGAGCCAATGTTTCTGGCCAAAGTGAGACAGCACATATTGTAGTCTTTGCAAGCCAAATGATGTCTGTTCCAGCACCTCAACTCTGTCATTGCAGCATGAAGACAGCATGAACAATACAGAAAGGAGTAGATGCAGCTAAGTTCCAATGTCACTTTATTTACAGCACTGAAATTTAAAAGCTATATAGTTTTCACATGACATGAAATATTATACCCTTTTTTTTCCAGCCATTTACAAATGGGAAAACAAAAACAGGAAAAAACCATTCTTAGCTTGCAGTATGTGCAAAATTGGTGGTGAGCCAGAGGTGGCCTCCGGGGCTTTTGCTTTTGACCTTGCTGATGATTAGCAGGGAATGCACATTTCAAACTGCCAACTCTGAAAGCAAATCCAATACTGGCAGGATTGTACTCATTTTAAATGAGAACTATAGATAAACACAAAGCAGCCAAATGGCACATCATTACTTCTTTCCCACACCCCAGTTCCAGTGTCTATTCTGCTCCTCTAGGCTGCTTGGATCGGGCTCAATGTTTTCCTGTTTGTACAAGCCTTCTTGAAATTTGAGAAGGAAGACAAGTACTACTACACCAGAGAAATCCTCGGGGTGAGTATCACGATTGTAATGAGATAATCTGCATGATTTTTCCTTATCTCTGATTCCAGTTCTAGTTTGACCCAATACTCTCATTTCCTCTAAGGCTAAGGTTTTCAGAAAAATGACAGGATTTTCAGTTGCATTTGAGTTTTAGAGAAACAGCAAATCACTTTCGACTTAAGTGTGCTCCAAATATTGCATGCAATGTAAGTATACTGAAATATTCATTTTAAGCAATCTGAAGTTCAAAGTTAGTGGGGGTGTCCTTGCATTTTCATTTATTAAGTTTGACAACCCTGTGTAGGGAAAACTCCCCAGATCTGATAAAGACAACATTCAGGGACCAACCTCATGGCTCAGCGGTTTAAACCAGCACTTGCAATGCCAGCATCCCATATTTGAATGCTGGTTCACGTCCCAGTTTCTTGATTTCCCATCTCAGGGTGGCAGCAGATGTACTCAGCCCCTTCCATCCACACAAAAAACTCTGTCTCCTGGCTTCAGTTTGGCCCATCCTTGGTGATTGCAGTCATTTAAGAACAGATGCAAGATCTCTCTGTCTCTTTTGTGTACCTGTGATTCTTCCTCATTCTGTTACTCTGCCTTTCAAATAAACCAACCAATTAAAAAAAAATCTTTTTTTTTTAAAGACATACAGTAAAGAAAAACTTCAGGCAGTAGTCTTTTAAATGGTTTCTGGAAAGCCAGGTATGAAGCAAAGACTCACTGAATGTTGAAGCCTTAATTTGTCTTATGGGGAAGAAAAAGAAGAAAGGGAAGAAGGAACAAAGGAATGAAGGAGGGTTAAGAGAGACAGATTGAGAAATGAGAGAGGGAGGGAGAAAGGAGAGAGGGAGGGATAAAAAAGGGGAAGAGAAAGACAGAAAGAAGGAGAAATGAAGCAAAGAGAGAGAAAGAAGGAGAGAGAGAAAAACTAAGAATGGGGCAGGAGGCAGGAATGGAAGGAGAGAAGGGAGAAAGAGAAAGGAGGGAGGAAGGAACTGAGGCAGGGAGGAGGAAAGAAGAGAGAGAAGAGAAAAAAGAAAAGATGGAGAGAGGGCTGTTTCAAGGTGAGAAAGGGGGAAAGAAAGGAGGAAGGAAATTGAGAGGGAGGGAAGAAAGGAACGGAGAAGAAGGAATGAAAGATGAACGGAGAGACAGAAAGTACAAAGAAAGGGGAAAAGGAGAGAGAGGGTCAACAGAAGAGAGAGATGGGAGAGAAAGAGAAAGAATAAGGGAGAGAGGAAGGAGAGGAAAAGAAGGAAGGGAGTGAGAGAAAAGTGGAAAGGAAGAAAGGATAAAAAAGGAAGAGAGAAAAGAGAGTGAGGGAGAAGAGAGAAATGAGGAAACAAGGAAAAGAGAAAGGGAAAAAGGAGGGAAAGATGAAGCAGGAAGAGAAAGAAAAAAGAGAAAGGGAGGGAGGGAGGAGAGACAAAGGGGGGAGGAAGGAAGCAAGAAGAGGGAGGCAGGACAAAGTAAAACAGAAAGAAATAAGAAAAAGCATTCTGCACCTTGGATTCTCTTCCCGGATAGGTTTCAGGTATGGTTGGTGCTTGCCAAGAACTGAGGTCAGGTCAGGGTAATAGAATGGAGAAGGCTGGAGAACTGCAGTGGAAAGCTGGTGGGTGTGCAAGTGAGCAGGTTCTCTTGCAGGCTGCTGCTTGGGCACTGCCAGCTTAGAGGAGACAATGTAATTGCTATCTCCAGTTGATTACACCACATCAGGTCTTGCCTATATGGCTGGCATCTCCACAGTACCTTTTTGTTTGTTTGTTCCAGAGAATTTCCAATAGATAAGAAAACTTTTCTCTCCACAATCAGAAGACCCAAGCTGTGATCATAATGAATTTGAATATTCTGTTTAAGGCTGATTTTCCCCTGCCATTTTCCTTTTAAAATGTTTGTCCCTGATCTTTCTATAGAAATTAGAGGAAGTGCTCATTTGGTTTAAAAATAGTTTTTTATTAAGAGAATGATGCAATCAGTATGGCTCGTTATTAAGAGCTTGATTACTTGATGGCAAGAAAGTCAGCAACAGGAAAATGAATCATGCCAAGGTCCTGTGGACATCTCATTCTTTAAAGCCGTATTTAAAACATTCAGAAGAAATAACATTGTTCTCAATGAGACCAAATCATATAGAAATGGAGGCTTCTTCCTGTTTCACTCCCCAGAGATCGGGAATTCCGTATGAGTGTATGCAAAGATGCACGTGCTTACATGACATCACACACACAGGCTTTATTTGTTTTTCACCTAGCCATTACCCTTCATTCAACTTTCAGTTTCTGTATAGTCAAATCTGCTCTTTGGCATGTAGAGTTCTATGAGTTTTTTTAATTAAAATTTACAGAAGGGCGTGTTGCTTTTTGTTCGAACCAACAAAGGGAATCATTTTTATAGGTATTCACCACAATTTGCAGCTTATACTCCATGTACCTCAGATATCTTACATGTGAATACAGGCATATGCTAGAATTAGCTCACACCAGCTTGCAATCATCTTCTCTATATACCTCGCTTTAACAATATTTTGTTGTGGCTGCCATTGTGGCTCAACAGGTTAAGCCACTGCCTACAATACCGACATCACATGTGAACGCTGGTTCAAGTCCTTGCTGCTCCACTTCTGATCCAGATCCCTACTGATATACTTGGGAAAGCAGTAGAAGATGAACCGAGTTCTTGGGCTCCTGTCACCACAACAAAGACTTGGATTAAAATTCCTGGCTCCTGGAGTCAGCTATGTCCAGGGCCAGATATTATGGATTTTTTGTGGAAATGAACCAGTAGTAAATAAATTTACTTATTACTCACATCTGCTAATTCACTCCCAAATGCCTGAAACTGTTGGAACTGGGCCAGGTTGTGGCCAGGAGACAGGAACTCAGTCCAGATTACCCATGCGAATTCTAGGGACCCAACCACTTAAGCTAGGGTGTACATCACACAGGAAGCAGGAATCGGATGCAGAGTCAGGATTCAAACCCAGGGACTCCCATGTTAGAATATGGGGACCCCAAGGAATATCTTAATCACTGTGCCAAAAATCCACCCCCACACCTGCAATTTATCTGAACTCTACTTAATGTAGGATCTGATGACATCTAGTTGGTGTCTTGAAATCTATCATGGTGAGAATGTTTGCAACATTAAAACTGGCAAATGCTGGAAATCAGGAATCACCTTCACTTGGGTTTTAGGGAACTGATGTTAAAATATGTACCGGCACGAATATGTCTCCTTATAACCCTACACCTTTTCATAATCTACTAAATCATTCTACGGAGTGTTTCTTAAATTCATGCTCTACTGGGGCATGTACAGAGGTAGCAAGTGCGTTGCAGAGAAAGGAGTTGAAGTCTATAGTCAATGAGGCATTACTGACAGCAGCAGTTCAATTAAGTTCAATCTGTAAGTGTTGACTGAGAAATATGAATGCACATTGGAATAATTCACTGTGCTGCAAGATTTTCTCAGAAAAGAATTCATCCCATACAGATAGCTGCCACAGAATATGGGGATATAAAATCATAGTCCAATATTTTCAATCCACTTGGCAATTTGTGCTTTAAGAAACCTCTATGACTCAAATAAACAAGCTGTAGGAACCAGTGTGGAAATGCAGGGTCTCCAACATAAGCAGAAAAAAACCTACTCAGAAATAGAACAGGCTGTCTCTACCAAAAACAGTCAGAATGTAACTCAGCAGAGCAAGAAAGGCAGGTCATGTGGAAGAGTCAGAAATGGAAAACAGTAGGGCACCTCTTGTTCACTGCACTGCCTAGCATTGTGAGACATTAGCGATGTTAGGCAGATCTTGACCTAGCTTATTCACCTGATGTCACATTGATGCAGGCTATATGGAAAATTAGGATGTTTTAAAAAGATTTATTTATTTTAATTGAAATATTTATGGAGAGAGAGAGATATCTCCCATCTGTTGGTTCACTCACCAAGTAACCATCACAGCCAAAGCTGAAGCTGGGAGCCAGGAGCTTCTCCCAGGTCATCCACATAAGTGTGGGGCACAAGGCCTTGAGCCATTCTTTGTCACTTTCCTAGGTCATTAGCAGAGAGCTGGGTAGAAAGTGGAGCAGCAGGGACTTGAACCAGCACTCATATGGAATGCTGGTGCCGCAGGTAGACTTAGCCTGCTCTCCACACCCTCTCCCCTGAATTCATGTTTGTACTTTACCCATTGCTAGGGACAGGCTGAGTGAGTAGTAACACTGATCCGTATTCTTCCTTTTAGCAAGGACTTGACAGGCATGGATGTTAGGCTGGCCAGTTGGCTTTACTGCAAAAGAAATTGTCTGGCTACCACTCTACCTCCACTTCTATCAAATGGCCACATTTCCTAGCCTGCAGTCCTAAGTACATGAAGCTGACTCAGAAACTGGTTGTGTAGAGTTGAGGTGAGAAGCTGCCATGGAGTGGAGGATATTCTGCCAGTCTGTACCTAGCTCAGCCTGTTTCTAAGCTGCTAGCTCAAGTTATTCTTTATGCTGCTTACCTACCCACAGAAATCAGCTTGAAATTTGCTCTCAGAAGTTTTCTCTTCTGGAATGTCTACATAAGGTTAAGATTTTTTTTTCTGAGGAACTTACTAGTCTTGCTTAAGCTTTATTTGTGAAAAAAACCTATTTGTGCAAACTAAATTATTCTATTTGTGAAAAACAGTGCTGGACACTGAACTTACCTTCTTAAGACTGATTAATCTGAAAGGCTGAGTCTTACATATATGCCTGTGCACACACACGCGTGCGTGCACACACACACACACACACACACACACACACACACACACACACACACACACAGAAGCATCCACTGGTTTGCTTCCCAAGTGCTTGAATGAGCCATAGCTTGACTAGGCCAAAAACAGGAACCAGGAACTCCATCTGGGCCTCCTATGTTCATAGCAGGGACATAAGTACTTGGGCTGTCTTCCACTGCTTTCCTAGGCACAGGGAGCTGGAATGAAAGCCAAGCAGCTGGGTTTGAACCAACACTTGGATACGGAATGCAAGATCTGCAGAAGGCTGTTTAATCCATATTCAATTTATTAAGGTATTTTATGAAAGAGAATGGTGCAATGGCTCAATGGCTATTCCTCTACCTCCAAGCGCTGGGATCCCATATGGGCACTGATTTGTGTCCCAGTTGTTCCATTTCCCATTCAGCTCCCTGCTTGTGATCTGAGAAAGTAGTGGAGAATGTCTCAAAGCCTTGGGAACCTGCACCTGCATGGGAGTCCTGGGAAAAACTCCTGGCTACTGGCTTCAGATTAGCTCAGTTCCATCCATTGTCACCATTTGGGGAGTCAACCAGTGGGTGGAACTCTATCTCTCTCTCTGTAAATCTGCCATCTGCTTTTCCAATAACAAAATCAATTTTAAAAGAAAGATATTTAATGAGAGTACTTCAAAAATTTGCAGAAATTTATAAGATTATTTATTTTGTGAAAAACAAATTTGGACTGCATGTATAGATTTTTCATAATACACATTTTTTAGTGTTGGTACTGTGGTATAATGGATAAAACTACTGCCTGTTATACCAGCATCCCATATGGCTATGGATTCAAGTTCCAGCTGCTCTATTTCTGATCCTGCTTTGTTAAGAGTCTGGGAATATCAGCGTCGGATGGCCCAAGTAGTTGGACCCCTGCACCCATGTGGGAGACCTAGATGGCTGCTGGCTTCAGTCTGGTCCAGTACTTGACGTTGTGGCTTTCTGGGGACTGAACCATAACACTGAAGATTCTCTCTCTCTCTCTCTCTCTCTCTCTCTCTCTCTCTGACTTTCAAAATAAATAAATAGATCTTTAAAAAACCATATACATTTAAAAATGTTTTTATTTGAAGGGCAGAGTTACACAGAGAATAGAGACATAGAGAGAGACCTTTCACCTACTGATTCACTTTTTACATGGCTGCAATAGCCTGGGCTGAACTGATTCACAGTCAGGATCCAGGAATTTCTTCCAGGTCTCCCATGCAGATGCAGGGGTCCAAGAATTTGGGCTGTCTTTTGCTGTTTTTCCAGGTCGTTAGCAGGGAGCTAGATGAGAGGTGGAGCAGCTGGGATATAAGCCAGTGCCCATATAGAATGGTGGCATTACAGGCAAGAAGGTTAGCTTGCTACCCCCTGTGCTGGCCCCTCAAATTACACATTTTTATGAACCTTTTGAAGACCTCTTGTATGGATAGATTTCAGAAGTTTTTGCACTAAATGAACTTATCTTTTAAGTTCATATTCCATTAATCTGTTGAGGAGCCCTTGTATATATAAATGATGAAATCTTTCTACTTGTTTATTAAAATTTTTGTTTGTTAAACATTTATTTATTTTATTTCAGAGGTGGGGTGGGTGACACTTCAATATGGGATGTAGGTAACCCAGTTGGCATCTTTACTACTTCTCCAAATACCCAATGCTTTATTGTTTTTTGTACAGCTATCATATGCTTATAATTGCTACATTCAGAAAGACAGAAAAAAGAATGAAAGAGTCAGTACTGGTAATTATACCTTTAAGTACAAGCATTATTTAAAGATGCAAATAAAAGTACATATAATATTTAAAACTATTCTGTAAATGGCAAATAATAAAATCATCATTGAGTGCATTAAGCAAAATTATTCATTGCAAAGTGTTACATCTATAGAATGTACTTTTTAGTTTAGAATAATTAAATTATATTCTCTCTCATATTAATAACTGTTTAGTAAAATATTTCCAAGTCATTGTCAGGGAAATGTCTCAGTTCCACATTAAGTTCAGTTCATTGTCTTTTGCAAGTAGAGTACTTAGCCTGACTGTGCTGGCTACTGAGAGAGTGGGGTAGAAGCTAGAGCCCCATCCAGTTGCTGATGTCAGAGAAGTGGACTGGGCCAGCACTCACCTGCAAGATGGTTAGATGAAACAGCAATGTGTCTCTTTTTCCTTTCCTCTAGTCATCATTGGCCTGGGCCCGAGCCTCTGCTCGCTGCTTGAATTTTAACAGCCTGTTGATCCTGGTTCCTGTGTGTCGCAATCTGCTGTCATTCATAAGGGGCACTTGCTCAGTGAGTCTCAACCACTACTATGTCAAATTCCACATTAACCGAAGAGATCTCTGGCTTCTTCATGGGACAGATCAACACTCAGTCCTTGGGAATGGAACCCAGAGATCTCCTTTGGTGGCCAAATGAGTGGGTGAGGGTTGGTGGATATTTGCATGCTGTGTGCAAAGCATATAGGTTCCGGTTAGCGGAACCAAGGCTGCCTTGGGGTACCTGATCATAATCACCTTTTATTTGTAGTTTTGCAACCGCACACTGAGAAAACCATTGGATCACAATCTGACCTTCCACAAGCTGGTAGCGTATATGATCTGCCTCCACACAGGTAACTCCAACACCGAAACTGTAGGCTCTAAGGCATTTAGAGTCCAGATTCATTCATCCATGTCCACAAACGTTGAAAAATATTTATCAGCATTATTTGTAAGGCATTGCCCTATACTGTTTTCATAGAGCTCACATTCCTGAGCATATAAAAAAGATCTTGAATCTCTGCCTTCTTGTAAATCTGCTGGGAACTCTTCCGTCTGCTAGGTATTTTCTATGGGTTTCTTCTATTTTGGTGGGGTATGCTTGTCATGATGTTCCAACAGATGCTTCTTATACTCTATTCCATCTTTTCATTTAGCTATTCATGTCATTGCACACCTGTTCAACTTTGAACGCTACAGCACAAGTCGGCAGGCCACAGATGGATCCTTGGCCTCCGTTCTCTCTAACCTATCTCAACACAAGGAAGACGGGAATTCTTGGTTAAATCCCATCCATTCCCCAAACACGGTGAGTTGGCTCAATGGTAAAGCATCTAGAATTTGGTAATGGGCAGGGCAGGGTGGGTAGAGTAGTCTTGTGGATATTTGTGTCCTGCTGACATTTCTGCTTTCACAGACATTGTTGTATGTGACGTTCACCAGCATTGCTGGCCTCACAGGAGTTATTATCACGCTAGCCTTGATTCTCATGGTAACTTCAGCTATGGAGTTTATCCGGAGGCATTATTTTGAGGTCTTCTGGTATACTCACCATCTTTTCGTCGTCTATATCATTGGTTTAGTGCTTCATGGAATTGGGTAAGGTTTTCAAAGTCTCTCTCTCTCTCTCTCTCTCTCTCTGTGTGTGTGTGTGTGTTTCTATTTTAGTCTCAGCTCCAACCTTGCATAATTGTTTACCCACAAATGTCCTCCTTTGTTTGCTTCAGTGGAATTGTTCGAGGTCAAACCCAGGAAAGCATGGAAAAGTATCATCCTCATGAATGTGCTGAATCTTTTCAGAAATGGGGTGATGATAAACACAAATGTAAGCCTCCTGAATTTGAAGGGCACCTCCCTGAGGTAAGAATCCTAAGGATATGGACAGACTCTAGGCGCTACTCTTGCTACTATTATCATTACTCATTATGACTATCGCTTTTATTATCTCAGCCTTGCTTGTGACTTGGAAAAGCAATAGAGGGATGGCCCAGTTCCTTGGGACCCTGCATCCACATGGGAGATCCGGAAGAAGTTCCTGGCTCCTGGCTTCAGATTGGTTCAGCTCCGGCTGTTGCAGCCACTTGGGGAGTGAACCAGTGGACAGAAGATCTTTATCTCTGTCTCTTTCTCTCTGTAAATTTACCTTTTCAATGAAAAGAAAAAAAATCTTAAAAAAATTAAAATTCCCCATGTGATCATAAGAAGCTTTTATGACATTTTATAACAGAAGATCTTGAAGAAAAAGGACCAATGTATGTTGCATGTTGAAAGACCCTCAGTCAAAGTAATAACAATATCTTAAATTATCAGTAATATTGACCACGTGTCAGCCTTGTTGTATAATATGCATGATCTTGCTCACAAGCAGAAATAACCTGTGTAGTACATATTTCTCATCTCCATTTTGAGACAAAAGGATTGAGATCACGGGGCCAGATTTGTGGCATAATAAGCTGCTGCCTACAACACCAAAAACTCATGAGGATGCTACCATGGAGTCTCAGATCCTCTACTTTTGATCCAGCTTCCTGCTAAGGCAGCAGAATATGGCCTAAATGCATGGGTGGGAGGTCGGGATGGAACTACGAGCCCCTGGCTTCGGCCTAGACCAGCCCCAGCTGTTGTGATCATTTAAGGAGTGAACCAACAGATGGAAAATCTTTGTCTACCTTTATGTGTCTCTGTCTGAAACTGCCTTTTGAATGAGCAAAGAAATCTTTGCTTTTTTTTAATAAAGCATTGTGATTCTAAGAGATTAAGCAACAGTAAGTGAATAGAGGAGCTTGAATTCAACCCAAGGCTTTTTGGCTTCAAAAACTGCACTACTCATAGTCACTGTAAAAGCTCAACTGTAAAATCCATCTTTTTTTTTTTTTTTTTTTTTGCGGGAAAGCATTCTTCAAGTGGGCCTTGTTTAGTGTTATGAGGATGTGCTTGAAAGTTATTGTCAGATAGTGCATAATTAAGAAACTGGGTTCTACGTAACTCAAGGTGTGCCCCAGAGTAATTTTCGAGAATATTATGATTCAACTTTTCCTGCTCATAAAATAGGTTATATTGAGAAATGAATGGAAAATTAAGTTTGATTTGAGGTGCTTCAAAGTTATTTGAGGATGATTAAAATGGAGATGTAGGGTTAAGAACAATAGCTTGTTCCTCATGTAATATGATATCTGAAAGAAAAGGCTTCCTAGAGTTGACATTTCAATTCAATGAGGGAAAAACCTAGATTAAAATTTCTTAGGACAGTAAGACAATCATCTAGGGGGAAAAAAAGCTATATTTTCATTTTAAACCTTATACTCAAATATGGATTAAGAGTACATGGGGCAAGGATTTACAGTTATAAAAAGTTATAAAATGTCATAAAAGCTTCTTATGATCACATGGGGAGTTTTTTTTTTTAAGATTTTTTTTTCTTTTTATTGGAAAGGTAGATTTACAGAGAGAAGAGACAGAGATAAAGATCTTCTGTCCACTGGTTCACTCCCCAAGTGGCTGCAACAGCTGGAGCTGAACCAATCTGAAGCCAGGAGCCAGGAACTTCTTCCGGATCTCCCATGTGGATGCAGGGTCCCAAGGAACTGGGCCATCCCTCTATTGCTTTTCCAAATCACAGGCAAGGAGTTGAGCAGAAGTGGATCAACCAGGACATGATCCAGCACCCACATGGGGTCCCGCACATTCAAGGCAAGGATTTAGCCACTGAGCCATAGCACTGGGTCCCACATCCGGATTAAAAAAAATGTTGATGTGGGAGAAGATACTTCTTAATAAGATAAATAATCTTAAAGCTACAAAAGGAAAGAACCAAACAGAAGAAAACTATTAGAAATAAAAACAGACAGCAAATCATTAAGCAGGAAATAGATTAACAACTCACAGACCAACAACTAATAGCTTAATATATAAATAACTCATGGAAATTGATAAGAAAGACAGAGCCTGGTAAGAAGAGATGTGAAAGGCAAGAACAGAATAATCAAGGCATGTTCTAATGTTAAGTATATGAAATAGTGCTTAGCATTATTCAAATGGAAGAAATGAAAAATAAAACTATGAGTAAAGAATTTTTAATCTCTCAGATTAGCAAAGATGAAACAATGTGTTGCAATGCTCTGATGTGTTGCTGCTGAGAGCGTTAATTTACACTTGTAGATTTGGCAATATCCATCAAACTTCATAATTCCATTTCCAGGAGTTCTATATGTTAAATTATATGTATTATGAGTTTAGTTCTGCAGCACTGTTTGATGGCGCAGAAGATTGGAAACAAGTCTCCATCAATAGTAAATTACAGGACTTTAAGATGATGGACTACTCTGCAGGTAGTGAGATAGGGACTAGAAAGAACAAGTCTCCAAGACATTAAATATAAATAGGGTGGTGTGAATGATCTGTTGTGACTTGCATTAAAGTGATAGCATAGGTGCTGGCGTTGTGGTGCCATGAACTAAGCTGCTGACTGTAATGCATGCATATCATATGAGAGCACAATTTGAGTTCCAGCTACTCTGGCTTCCATCCAGCTCCCTGCTAATATTCCTGGGAAAGTGGTTGACAATAGCCAAAGTACCTGTGTCCCTGCCCCACCCATGTGGGAAACCCAGATTGAGCTCCAGGCTCCTGGCTTCACCTTGGCTCCTCCTTGGCTATTGTGGCTATTTGGAGAATGAACTAGTGGATGGAAGATTCTCTCTCTCTTTCTCCCCCCCTCCACCCTCCATTCATCATTCTACCTTCCAAATAAATAATTTTAAATGATTTTAATGAATATTTAGTAGAAAGGTTCATAAAATGGTCCACATTATTTGCTTCTGGGAAGCTGGGAGGCAAGAATGCAAGGGAGATCTCTGTTGCACTGAATGTTCTTTGTACTACTGAGTTTTGTACTATTTACAATCACGTGTCACATAACAATGGGCATGCGTTTTAAGAAATGCTATGCTGAGCCATGTCATCATTGTGCAAACAAACTGGGATAGCTACAGTGTCACTAGGTGGCATAATCTCATGGCAATTACATCACATATGCAGTCCATCATCAACCAAAAAAAATATATCATCATGTAACACATGACTGTAGATGTAATTCTGGAAGATCATATCTGGTATATGTCAATAGTACATTTCATTTCTGAAGTCAGAAGAAGTACTAAAACTATAACCCTCTATATTATCTCATTAGTAGACAAAAAGAACCTTAAAGACAAGGAACTACCAAAGACTTATGAGTTAAGTTTACCAGTGAACACACTTAATACCTTGTTTGACCTTGTATGTCAGCTTCTATAGTTTTCCAATCTGATACCTGAACTAATGTACACCGGACCTTTATGGAGACAGGCTTAAAAGTTAAAGGTTGTTTTGATGAGTCACATAATACCCTAAAGAAAAGAACATTACCTTTGTCACTCTATTGTACTTCTGTGTTCCTTCTAGACACATTACAAAAAACATTCCCCGTCATAGTTCCTCTATTTGAAAATTAGCAAATACATGTTAATTGTAGAAAATATATTTATGTATAGAGTTCTACTATCTAAGGTAAGTATCTTCGTCTTTCTCCCATGTCAGATATGTTTTCCTCTACGGTCAAATATTCTTCTGAAATGTTTGTTTTAAAATAGCTTTATGGTATTTTGTTCTTAGCAAATATTTTAGATGTTACACATGTGCTTTGTGAATAGCAGTTATTGATTTTAGTTGTTTATGTATTTATTTTGCATTTATGAGCAAGAATTTTCTACCCCCTAATTAACTTCTCAAATGCCTTCTCAACAGGCAAGGCATGCAAGCTGGGTCAGGCTGCAGCCCTGCATCTTGGTCTCCAGTTTAGGTTCCAGGAACCCAAGTATTTGAACCATTATCTGCTGACTCCCAGCAGTTTAGCAGGAAGCTAGATCAGTAATGAAATTGCTAGGACTTGAACAGGTATTCTGACACGGGATATCAGTGCCCCAAGCAGTGGTTTAACTTGCAGTGCCTTAATGCTTGTTCCTTAATTGTTTTCTTTACCTGCCTTTCATGGACGTGAAATCCTAAGAGAAGGGATACCTTTGAGACCAGTGAGGTCCATTGCTAAATTACCTTCTGGGAGGATGCTGCTAATTTACACTTACACTAGCTGCATGTGTGAGCATTCCTATTTCTCCGAATCCCAGTTAACAATGGGCATTATGGGACCTGGCATGATGGCTCAGTTGGTTAATCCTCCCCTTCTAAGTGTCAAGATCCCATATAAGCGCTGCTTTGTGTCCTAGCCTGCTACATTTCCAGCTCCCTGCTTATGACCTTGGGAAAACGGCAGAGGATGGTCCAAAGCCCTAAAACCCAGAAGAAGTTCCTGGCTTGGGCCATTGTGGCCATTTGGGGAGTGAACCAGCAGATAGAAGATCTCTCTGTCCTTCTCTCTGTAGATCTGTCTTTCCAATAAAAAGAAATAAAAATAATACAATCAGTATTATTTCTTAAATAGGTTTTTCAATTTGAGAGATGAAAAAGCTACCTTATTTTAATATTAACTTCTCTATTCCTGAGGTCAAAAATTTTCATATTGCCATTACCTAGTTCTGTTTTTAAAATATTTATTTTAAAAGCGGTGTTTCAGTGATTTATAGAGAGATTAATGTTCTACCTGCTTTTCGTTTCTTAAATGGCCATCATTTTTCAAGTATTCTGAATTCATCTGGAGATTTTTTTTTTCAAATAAGAAATAATATCAAATTATATAATGTTCACTTTCAATTTTATGAAAACTACATTGCTCCATCCCTACCTCAAAGATTGCCAAGGAAGTTATCCGCAAAAGCACAAGAAAACTAAGCCCTTGAGGCACATATGTTGCAGTGGGTTAAGTCACCACTCCGGATTGATGTGCCTGTATTGCACATCAGGGTGCCTGATTGGAATCCCAGCTCTTCTTGATCCAATTTCCTGGAAATGCACCCTAGGAGGCAGCAGGTGCTCAAGCTCTTGGGCCCTCCTGCCCACATTGGAGACACAATTGGAGTTTAGATTTCTGCAGCCTGGTCTTATTATGGCTGTTGTGGCTGGCCATTTGAGAATGAACCAGCAAATGAAAGATTCTCTCTCTCCTTTTCTCTTTCTCCTTCTCTGCCTATCTTTCAAGTAAATGGAAAGAAAAAACGAATATTAAGAGCAAAGAAGGGGCTCACACTGTGGTGCAGTATGTTAAGCTTCTGTTTATAACACTGCTGGTGTCCCATATCAAAGCATTGGTTGGAATTACAGCTGCTCTCTTTTTGGTCCAACTCTCTGCTAATGTACCTGGTAAGACAGTGGAATATGGCCCATGTACTTGATTCCCTGCCACCCACATTGAAACCTGGGTCCTGGCTTCCACCTGGCCCTGGACTGGCCAGTGCAGATATTTTGGAATCAATCAGTTGATGGAAGACATTCTCTTTGTTTCTCTCTTTCTCCCTCACTCCCCAGCATTTTGCCTTTAAGTAAACAAATGGAAACTTTATTCTGCACCATTCCAATATGTCACACTTGAGCAACTGTGATTGAGTATTATAGCAAATATATTTTTAGTAGACTTTGTATATATCTAAGTAACCTGATACCTTGAGAAGATCTCAAGAATATAAATGCTACTTTTTAGAAAATTTAGACTAAATAAAAATATAAACAATATGCAAAATTTTGAACTTCAGAGAAAAGAGATGGTGAATATGTGTCAAAGTCTCTGTTACTGGTCAATTGACCAATCACTTTAGACATGTACTGCCCACTCTTTTTGCTATATTTTGTTTTTTTATCAGCTACTTTTAGTTCACATCTGTCTTCTCCATCAATTCTTCAGGTTGGACAACTTTCCCTGAAAGATTGTCTTAGATTCTTAAAATTAAATTTTACATACAATTTAAGAATATATGTATATCTGTATTCTCTCTCTCCGTTATCTAGCCATGTATTTTGCTTCTGTGCTTTTCCTTCCTGGTCAGATCTGTAGCTTTCCAGAAACTGTTCTGTTTATGAGTAACAGATTAGCAAACCACATGATTGTGCAACATTTCTTTTTGATTTCCATCCTCAAGGCTTAAAATGAGTGGTTTAATGTTAGTACACATCAGCAATCTCAAATATTTATTAATTGAAAGAATAAACTGTGACACAATCAGTCTTAGTGTATGATCTTCTTTGCAGTCCTGGAAGTGGGTCCTTGCACCGTGCATTCTCTACACTTTTGAAAGGATCCTCCGTCTTTTGCGCTCCCGACAGGAGGTTGTGATTACCAAGGTAAAGAATATGGGCTTTTCTCTTGATGTGGAAGAGTTTTTTCTCTGCTGGATTCCAGACCCCACTGTCACATTGTCAATGAGAAGGAAATAAAAAATAACATGGGGTCAACATACCTCGGTTTCTCCAGTGTGGGACAAAAACGATGGGAAAGGTCTGTCAGAGAAATGCCTAGGATGGATCTTCTTCAGAACTGTCTTTGATGTAGCTTGTGCCAGACCTAGTCCATAGCTAAATTTTGCTTGGCCCACCCAATGTTTGTTTTAAAAGTCAAATTCATTCCTAGCATTTTACAATACGAATGAAAGTTCTCTCTTCTCTCTCTCTTGTCTTCTCCCACTCCCAACACACACACACACACACACACACAGGGTCACTTCTTGCCTCCCTTGAAAAGTGAGAAAACCTTAACACCAAGTCAATGGCCTGGGGTTTTTGCAAACATTTTGAACAGTTGAGTAGCTGCTGCCCCCTTTCGGAAAAACTTGGGTTTGCAGTTCATTTCTACAAGTCACTGACTCTACCCATGTACTTCACCTTCCTATCCCTGACCTGGAATGAATGAGTTTGCCTACTGCGTTGTGTGTGCTTCCTTCACAGGTGGTCATGCACCCAGCCAAAGTTTTGGAATTGCAGATGAAGCAGAAGGGCTTCAGCATGGAAGTGGGACAATATGTCTTTGTTAATTGTCCTTCAGTCTCTGTCTTCGAGTGGCATCCCTTTACTCTGACCTCTGCACCAGAGGAAGATTTCTTCTCCATTCATATCCGAGTAGCAGGGGACTGGACAGAAAAACTCATCGAGGCTTTTGAACAACAGCAGTCACCATTGCCCAGGTGGGTTTTTCAGGCCATCAGAGTCAGCAGACAAAAGAATGCAAGTTCTCACTGACCCTTAGGTGGGGTACAATAGAAATAAACAAGCAGAGATCAGCCACGGGAACAGCTATGTTAGAGAGGGTGTGGTGACTCACTTGCCTGTTGTCTTCTGTCTTCTGCCAGAATTGAGATAGACGGTCCCTTTGGCACAGTCAGCGAAGATGTTTTCCAGTATGAAGTGGCTGTGCTGGTTGGAGCAGGAATTGGGGTCACCCCTTTTGCTTCCATCTTGAAATCCATCTGGCACAAATTCCGGCTTGCAGACCAGAACCTCAAAACCCAAAAGGTACACTTCTATATAGTAATTGTTATCTGGCCTCGGCTCGACTGGTCTGTTGGGCTTGTGGGCTAGCTCTTTACAATCGCTAAGGGAGTAAACTCTCCCAGGAGGTAGTAGAATGAGAAATCACTTCTCTCTGCCATGGCATCAGCTTCTGCCAGTTTCCTGCAAGAGCAGAGGCTGATTTTTGATTTGGAGCTTCAAATCACCCTAAACCAGATATAGTCTTGCGGGAGGGTTTTTAACCTGATGAAAATTGTCAGAACACGGAAAATTCCTGTTGTCTTAGGGCTGCTGTTCTGTAAACACGGATTTCCCAGATTAGTCAATAAATGTAGAGCATCTACGAGAACACAAAGTCTGTGGAAAATGGAGTTCAAAGATAAGCTTAGTTTGTGCCAAATGATTAAAATCCATGCATACAGGAGGGCTTCAAAGATCTATTATGAGAAATTATACATATATGTCAGAAGCCCTTTGCACCAATAATTATGCTCATTCCTTTTTTTATTAACTTTTCTAAGTCCCCTCATGTGTATAAATATATATATGGATATTATTTATAGTATATGTTATTCATATATATAAAGGGCACTTGACAAGGATATGTTCTTTTGCCTATTCCAGATCTATTTCTACTGGATTTGCAGGGAGACAGGTGCCTTTGCCTGGTTCAATGACCTGCTGACATCCCTGGAACGGGAGATGGAGGAATTAGGCAAAGTGGATTTTCTAAACTACCGCCTCTTCCTCACTGGATGGGACAGCAACATCGTGAGTTTAAACAACACACTAATTCTCGTGTTAACTGTCAGGATGCAAGTCAGATAAAAGACAGTGCATGATGATTAGAGATAATTATTTCTTATGATATCCTACTGCCCCTCAGCATCATATCCAACTTTTTTTTAAAAAAAGATTTATTTATTTTTATTGGAAAGGCAGATTTTTACAGAGAAGGAGAGATGGAGAGAATAATCTTCCATCTGTTGCTTCATTCCCCAAATGGCTGCAACAGCTGGAGCTGAGCCGATCCGAAGCCAGGAGCCAGGAGTTTCTTCCAGGTCTCCCACATGAGTGCCGGGTCCCAAGGCTCTGGGCCAACTACCACTGCTTTCCCAGGGCATAAGCTGGGAAATGAGTGGGAAGTGGAGCAGCCGGGACATGAACCAGTGCTCATATGGGATGCTGGAACTTGCAGGCAAAGGTTTAGTCAGTCGCGCTATTGTGCTGGCCTCCTTACATCCAACTTTAAAAGAGGCTGCAGAAAGAGGCAGCAATCAGGACTTGCTTTTTCTAACTTGCTATTTTTCTGACTCCAGGCCGGCCATGCTGCATTAAACTATGACAAGACCACTGACATCTTGACAGGTCTGAAACAGAAAACCTCCTTTGGGAGACCCATGTGGGACAATGAATTTTCTTCTATAGCATCTGCCCACCCCAAGTAAGTATATTCTCTGTTAGTTGAGTTTACCAAGATAGAGGTTTAGGAAAGATATAATTGCATTTTGAACATTCTTGGGGAACTGAAAACACATGAAAAAATGCAGTGAATGTAGGCACAGGAATTGTGATGTACCAGCAGAGGTGCTCGTAGCACATGTTTCATGAACTTTTTGAAGACCTCCCATATGTATGGATTGTAATAATTTGGCACAAAATAAGCTTGTTTTTAAATTCCACTTCACACAGACACACAGACACACACACACACACACACACACACACACACACACACACACACAGGATCTCTCTGGAGCAGAAACCATTCTTACATTTTGTTTAAAACTGAAGAAATCTTATCTGGGACCTTAGCAAGAACAAGGGTCACAGTCTTATCATTGGTGAGAGAATGCTGCCCCAGCAAGCTTTATTCAAGCAATTCACCAAGAAAATGGTTGTTCAGCCTAATGACAATCTTGGCACATTTATAGATAGGAAAGGGTCTGATAGAAATGAAATAAATGTAAAAAAGAGGGGAGAAGATTAAGATGGGCTTAGTAAATGATGGACAAAAGCAGATGGTGGATGGGAAATGGAGAGCTTTAAATCCTACGTTGTTTGTGGGAATGTCAAATGGTACAGGATTCTTTGGCAGCTCCACAAAAGTTTCCCTATGACCCAGCAATTGCACTCTTCAGTATACAACCAAAATGACAACATATGTCTATATAAAAGCTTGTTACTTCAACATACATAGCATGTAAAAATTCATTTATAATATTCAAGTAGTAGCAACCCATGTACTACAAGCAGATGAACGGATAAAACAAATGTAGTATATCTACATAGAACTCCTCAGTTTTATAAGGCATTAAATATTGACAACACAGACAAACCTTAAAGACATACCCAATGAGAGAAACTAGCCACAAAAGCCATATATTGCATGATTTCGTTTATATGAAATGTTCAGCGCATGCAAATCTATAGAACATAGATTAGCAGTTAGGTAGGATCAGATGTTTGGGAGGAAATGAGTGACTGCCAATGTGGATGAGATTTATCTTGTAGATTAATGCAAGTATTCTAGAATTAGACAGTGATTACTGCACAACTTTGTGGCTATACTAAAATGTACTGATTGTACATTTTAAATAAGAGTGAACTTATGGTATATGATTATGCCATAATTCAATTAAAAGAGAGGATGAGACACAGCTTAGTTGGAAAGAACATCCCCCTCTTTTGTTATGAGAAATTTTGAGGTGGGGATAAGATCACGGTCAATGGCTTTCACCGCAAGTAACACGTAAGCACTTGTCTGTGAGCCACACATTTTCCCAACTGTATGAAAACATGTATGAAAACCATGTTTTCATCTACTCTTCAAAAGCCACCCTGAGGTAGGTGGGCACTATTTATATCCATTTTATAGGTGGGAAAGTTGAAATACAAAGGTTTCTTAAAGTTACATAGGTGGACAAATGTCAGAGCTGGGATTTGAATCTAACCTGACTGGATCCAGGGTCTAATACTTGACTACTATAATACATCTTTTGACTGTGTTCTCAATAAATGTAAGGTTGAGTGCTGACAGTAATGTGAGATCTTGGCAACATAGCTGGGGCTTGAAAACAGAAAAGATAAACTAACAGGAAATCAACCAATTTTTTTAACTGGTGTTTGGAACAACAGAGGCCTAAAGAGGAAGTCTGTTCATTCCAACTGACACCCAACGATCTTTACTGAATTCTACCTCTAATTATTACTTTATTTGTGCAGGTCCGCGGTGGGGGTTTTCCTATGTGGTCCTCATGGTATAGCAAAGAGCCTGCGTAAATGCTGTCACCGACATTCCAGCCTGGATCCCAGGAAGGTTCAATTCTACTTCAACCAAGAAAACTTCTGAATCACAGGAAAGAAGATGGCAATCTGCATTTCATCTCTTCCACTATTGTGGTCAGACTTGGACAGCCATTCAAAAGCCATGACAGTTCTCAAGAGCTCTGGCAGCTGAACAGTTACACAATGTAACCCCGGGTAGCTCTGTTGATTCCAGCTGTTACTCTCTCATGGTCTGTGGTTATCACCCCACCCTGCTACCCTCATAGAAGATTTCTAAGTAGGGTGGCTTTTTAAATAAAAATTTATTGAATGACAAAACATAAACATAAATAAACAATGAGCATAAAATTATCAAGAACTCTAACCCCACATAATATCAACTGCACATACTCTGTTACATTAAACATAATCTTATCCAGTGTGAACAGCAATTTATGCTTTAATCCTGCTTGTCAAAAACTGAAGGATTTTCTTCTTTGCTTAGTGAATCAATCTTTTGTTATATTTTGGGCTTTCCATTTGGAAAAGAAATTCTTGAAAGTATGTAAATTATAATTGAAATTCCATTATAATTGAAAAGTGAGCTATTCTGTCAGTTTCTATTATTCTGCTGAAAATAACCAAAAAAAAAAAAAAAAAAACCTTAAACTCCATTTTGGGATGACTTATTTGTTCAACACAAAGGCTCTTTATCACTGTTTTTATTAAAAGGATTTATTAATGTCTAGTTTAAAAATAAAGACTTTACAATTTCAATAGCTTTTTTTTTTTTGGCTTCATCAAATGACATCAGCAAAATTTGTTCTTCTTATGCTTTCTATTTCTGTCATCTATCTAACCTTAGCCCACAATTAGCACATGTGCACTCTGGGATATTAGTAGTCACCACCAATGACTAGGAGGAAAGAAGCCTCAGGCCCTCAAAAGAAGGGAAAAAACTCTGCATTTCAGTGTACCCAGAGTTCACCTACTATAGACCTTTAATAATGTACCCAGTGAATTAGCATTATAGCATCAATTTTTCTACCATCAACTGGCCAAGAATGAACAAATGATTGTTACTAACTATTCAGGAAGGATTAGTGAGCTTGGTTTTTCAGTCACTAGTCTGAACACAATAAATGCAGCCCATGGACCCATGGTAGTTAACTGTTTTATTACACCAGTAAGACAGTGATAGGTGCTTCTGTAGGGATAGACTGGGATACTAGTGCTGTTTCTGATTTGTTCACTTGAATCCAGGTTACCTAAATTAAGTTAATGTGTCTTTGAGAAAACATATAATGGAACCTTGAAAATGAAGTTTTTGTTAGAGAATTATTGATCAAATAATCGCATCTTGAAGGCCTTTGAATTTGGAATGCTAGTGTCCCCTGAAATGTGAGTTCCTAATGAGAAAGGCTGTCTAAATATACTAACACTTCAGTATGTTGCCAAAATTAACATTTGAAGGTCCTTCTGATAGTCATGGAAGTAAACACAAAAGATAATGAAAATAATAAACTCTATGCATCACTACCATCCAAGCTGAACTGGGGATGTGCAGGATAGCCAGAAAGCTCCTCAGCTGTTTCCGCACATTTTCTTCACCAGGTTAGTAAGAAATAGCTTACTCAGCACATTTCTATTGTAAATGATTTTGTATCAGAATAGAAAATCCCTCCATTTCAATGTCTATCAGGCTGATTATCTTTGCATTCTGCTGCTTGACATGTAAAGCAATATGCTATTACATTCTCTAAGTCTACACAGGCTTTTAATACACCTGACCATAATCCTAGCCCTGTGGGAAGGATTCCGAGAATACAAATAGAATCAAAAGTAGTTCCAATAGAACTTCACTAAGGATTAAGGCAACTTATAACCTCTTGAGGTTGGCCTGATGGAGAGAAACTATGTTTCTCCTTAATGCCACTATGAGAGAGAATAGGCAGAGGACCCCATGTTAGAGCACTGATTATATTCAGAAATATCTGCAAGGTAAGAAGCAAGGGCAGACCTAACAGGCAACCTGAATACTTGTTCTCTACATTTGGTCTTCTTGAGAATAATGCAAAAGTTTTAGGCTTTCTGCTTAAATTCCCAGAATAAATCTGGCTTATAACATAGGGCAGCAGGTTAGTGATTTCCTGAAAGATAGGATGAAACATATTTTGCTCACTTGACTGTTTTTTTAACCTCAAACATGTGAAAGTTAGTTGAGTTTTTCAACTTTAGAAGTTGACTGCCATACTGAAGTTATACAATGAGAGAATTTCAACAGTGTCCTCTATTGATACACTCAGACCAGTGCCAACACAACCTTTGTTTTAATTCTGAACTATGCATGTTCAGATCTGCTATTGACAAAAAAATGCATTTAGATATTTTGATTTTTGTAAACACATTGCTGTGCTAGACTCTTCGCTTTGCTGGCCTTGTAATCGTTTTACAGCTCTAAGCATGTGCTATTTTCTCCCAGAAGACTTGTAAGTTTGACAAAGTTTCCAAAGGCAGAAGGCTTATTATTCTTGTTGGAAGCAAATTAAGCAAATACTAATAAATTCAAGAAAGCCTTGCTTCTAAGAAATTCTCAAGTATTATCAAGAAGAATGAATGGTTAATCTAAAGAGCGAGTGACAATATAATCTCAAATTACAATGCTGAAGGAAGGGTAGAAAACACATCTAAGGTTTTACCCTTGGTGTTGAGCTGTTTAAACCCCCCAAAAGGTCATGTGTATCAATCTGCAGTGTACTAAAATGGTGTTGATAGTTTATTTCAAGTCACAGAAAATTTACAAACTGAGACAACAAAATGGAACAGTTTGTTTTTTTTCTGAGAGAAGGTGATGGAAATCCTCCACCTGGCACCAACAAGTCAGTCAAGAATTAGGATACTGAAGCCATCTTTTTTGCAACATTTCAACAAAGTAGGGAAGTAATTTCCAGATTATGTTGCCAGGTAGCTTTGAAACCCTGAAAGAAAAAGTTGGAAGAAACATATCAGAAGTGGGGACAAAGTTCTCTTCCCCAAACATCAGGAAGAAAGTTACAAGACTTGGGGAAAGGAAGGTCGTAATCAACTCAAATCATAAGGACAGTTTTTGAAGGTACTGTCTCCTGCTTCCCACATCCCCAAAGCCATCATTGCTTGCAACAGGGTTTCTGGAGATAGGGGGCTGTCCTACAGGCATAGGAGGCCCAGTAACATCTCTGGTCTCTAAGACACTGAATGCCAATGGCATACTGTATCTTCTAAAGTCATGTAACTAAAAATGTTTCCAGACACTTCTAAATATCCCACTTAGCACTGATCTCTGATGGTGATGGTACAGAAGTCTGTCCATGATGGCAGAGAATGATCATCACGAACCAGGTATAGGACACAGGAACACTCTGGCCACAGTATGAACAAATATTAACACAAACAGTGAAACTTCACCCACATAAAGTTACATGATTATAGTCATACATACATGCACGTACAATTTACTGTAGGTTTAAAAAATGGTGAAAATACCCCTTGGGATGCCCACTTTCTAATATCACAGTGCATGGGTTCAAGTTCCAGCTCTGATTGCAATTCCACCTCCCTGCTAATGCGCACCCTAGGAGAAAGCAGCGATGACTCAAGTGGTTGGGTACCTGCCTCCCACATGGGAGACCTAGATTGAGTTAACTTGATTGTTGTGGGCATGTGAAGAGTAAACCAGTGGAGGGAGGATCATTTTTTGTGTGGATGACTCTTCACCTTTTAAATAAATTAAGAACTTTAAAAAAATATGGCAAAAACTAAACAAGATCTGTAGTCTAACAATAAAATATCAATATCAATTTCTTGGTTTTGTACTACTTAAAATAAAAAAAGGATCATACTACAGCTGTTTAAGAAGTTATTACTGGGGGCACAGCATAGCAGCCTAGTGGCTAACGTTCTCGCCTTGAATGCTTCAGGATCCCATATGGGTGCTGGTTCTAATCTCAGTGGCCCAGCTTCCCAAACAGCTCCCTGTTTGTGACCTAGGAAAGCAGTTGGAGACGGCCCAAACCCTTGGGACCCTCCACCCGTGTGGAAGACCTGGAGGAAGTTCCTGGCTCCTGGCTTTGAATGAGCTCAGCTCTGGCCGTTGTGGCCTTTTGGGGAATGAATCAATGGATGGAAGATCTTCCTCTCTGTATATCTGACTTTCCAATAAAAATTAAAAATAAGAATCTTTTTAAAAAGATGTTATCACTAGGTAAAGGGTACATGGGGCTATTTTTCAACTTCCTTTGAGTCTATGACCATTTCAAAAGAAAAAATATAAAAGCAGGAACAAATTTTTATCTTATGATTAGTATGCAAGGTTGTAAGTTAGATATAAGCAAAAGAGAACACCTGAAATATTGCTATGTTCACTATCCAAAAATAGCAATTTCCTCACATTGAAGGGAATACTTTAGCTGGCAGACATCAATTAAAAAGCATTTCTCTGAATATAACAGATAGTCTATGTTTTTGTTACTTAATTTTAAAAATGATTTATTTATTTTTATTTGAAAGGCAGATTTTTTTTTTTTCTACAGAGGACAGACAAATAGGCCTTCCATTGGCTGGTTTAATCCCCAGATGGCTGCCAAGGCCAGAGCTGAACTGATCCGAAGCTGGGAGCCAGGAGTTTACTCAGGGTCTCCCACATGGATGCAGGGGCCCAAGGCCTTGCTTGGGGCCATCTTCCACTCTTTTCCCAGGCCATAAGCAGAGAACTGAGTAGGAATTGGAACAGCCAGGACACAAACCGATGCCCATATGGTATGCCAGCACTAAAAGCAGATTAACATGTCACTGCTATAGCTAGCCTCTATGCTTTTATTTATTTATTTATTTTTTAAATGCTGTGCATATCTGGAATAAAATGCTAAAGTAGCAGTCAGAGCAAAAGCCTAGATGGGCATCCATCTATGACAGTTTCCCATACAGATATGATGCATATTTGAGCATAGGTGTTTTGAAGACATCACAAAGACTAAAATACCAACATACTGGGGTGGGCATTTGACCTAGTAGTTAACATGGCCATGTCCCACATCAGAGTAAGAAAGATTTAGGACTTTGCCTGGGGCTCCTGATTTCAGCTTCCTGTTAATGCAGACTCTGTGAGGAAGTGGTGGTGGCTCAAGTCTCTGAAATCCTAAGGGATATGCGGATTGAATTCCTGGCCAGCTGTTGCAGACATTTGGGGATCTGAATCAGCAGATGGGAGCTTTCTTTCTCCCTCTCAAATAAGTAGTTATTTTTTTTAAAATAACAATCATATACTGTAACACTAATTATATATACGAGTTTCTGATTATGTAATATGAGTTATGACAACATGCATGGGAATAATACAGATAGAGTTAAAAAGTAGACATTCAAAATAGGATATTTCAGCTGATAGAAGGACAATGCGCATTTATAACTATTTTAAGGGTGACAATGCGGCACAGAGAATTAAACCACTGCCTGTGATGATGGTGTCCCCCATGGGTACTAGTAACTGCTGCAACTACTCTTTCAGATATGGCTCTTTCCTAATGCACCCGGGGAGGCAGAGAAGAGAGTACAAGTATTTGGGCCCCTGCATCTATGTGGGAGACCCAGCTGAAGCACCCAGCTTCTGGTTTTGTGGCTTGTGACCCCAGCATCCTATATAGGAGCACCTGTCCTGGTTGTTCTACTTCTGATTCAGCCCATGCTAGTGTGCATGGGAAAACAGCAGAAGATGGCCCAAGTACTTGGGCCACTGTCACCAATGCAGGAGTCGAGAATGGAGTTCCAGCTTCCTAATTTCAACCTGCCCCAGACCTGGTCGATATGACCATTTGGGGAGTAAATCAGTGGACGGATGATCCCTTTCTGTCACTCTGCCTTCAAAATACAATAGAATAAAATAAATACAGAGTGTATAATCAAAGTCAAACAACTTTTTAAAATTAAATATTTTTCTTTTTTTAAAGTTATTTTTATGTGAGAGGCATATTTACAGAGAGAAGGGGCGGGGGGGAGAGAACTTCCATCTGTTCATTCATTCCCCAGATGGCCACAACAGCCACAGCTGAGCTGATCCAAAGTCAGGAGCTAGAAGCCAGTAACCCAAAGACTTGAGCCAGCTGCTTTCCCAGGCCATACACATGGAACTGGATGGGAAGTGGAACAGCCTGGGATTGAACTGGTGCCCACATGGGATGCCAGCACTGCCGGTTGAGGGTTAGTTTACTAAACCACTACACTGGTCTCACAACATTTTATGAGGTAGATTATCTGGGGATCCTTTTCACCTGACTGATAAATGAGAGACACAGGATTAGTTTCAGCAATCTTCAAACAGGTGGTGGGGCTGCTGTTTTGGTGCATCATGTCAAGCCACGGACTATAATACTGACATTCTATGTGGGAATGCTGCTCAGCTTATGACCCAGCTTCCTGCTAATGTGCCTGGGAATGCAACAGAAGAAAGTGCTTGGACTCCTGCCATTCACGTGAGAGACCTGGACTGAGTTCCTGGCTCCTGGCTTGAACTTGATCCAACGCCGGTTGCTGTGGCCAATTGGGGAATGAAGTAGCAGTTGGAAAACCTCTCTGTCTCTTCCTCTCTCTCTCTGTCACTCTGCTTTTAAAATAGAGTAAATCTTATTTAAAAATACTGAAAGCTAAAATATTTGTATTTCGTTGAAATGCTGTACATTTTTTCCATTTTCATGGGACATCTGAACTCAAGCAACACACATGATTGTGCAATGACACACTCCAAACTACCTTTTGAAGTCAGTGATTGTAGAAGCAAGGGTTTTCTGTTCTTATATTTCTCATTTCTACATCTGATTCATTTTTGTTAAACTCATCATATACTAGGTTTTACCGTTAGGAAATATTAAGAAAGATTGCAAGCATTCAACAACTGAACAAATGTTCTCTAGTCTTGGCCTGTCCCTCCAGATGGTGACCTACAGTCTGCAGTGAAAAGACAGTTTGGCTAAGAGAAAGGAAGGTCTCACAGAGAACAATCTTTTTGGTTAAGACCAAACACATATACTCAAGGTAACAAAGAGAGCTGGTATGATTCAGGGGAAGCCCATGCTGCTGACCTTTTAAGGCGCTCCAGTGGATTTCTGGATTTGTTCCTTCAAAATTAGGATGCTCTGCCTTTGCTCCGGAGGCAGCATGGCAATCTGGTCTGCAGTCAGCTGAAGAACCTGCATGATCAAAGCAGCCTGTGCAAAAGGAAAGGCGGCAGTAAGCTTGAATGATGGCCATGAAAAAGAAAACTCCCAACACCACCAGCTTCTGTCCAAAGAGCTACCTTAGTGGAGGATGAAGCAAACTGGAAAAAAGGATATTTCTGACACAGAAAACAAACAACAGTCCCCCCGACCGGAAAAAAACAAAAAAACAAAACGGAAAAAAAAAAAAAAACCACACCCTGGTCAGAAAAGGTACAATGAAAACAACAGGTCTAAGATTAGATGACTCAAAATAGACCTCTTTGTAAACTCAAAGTTCCCACGGGCCCTGCATTTCTTCAGTTGCAGATCCTGTTTTGAAAGTCTCTCTACTGTACGAGTGTTAGCCTATAAGATATGAACTCACCACAATGATCACATGTGAAAACAGAAAGAGAAGAAAGAGGTTTGGATTTTCAGGTCCATATGGCTTATACAAGAAAATCACTCTCAACAGATGACTCTGAAATGCAAGATAAACTGCCATGGGCAACAATATTATAGAAGAGTTCTAACACAAGAGTAATCACCACCTCCATAAAGACTTTGAGGCCCCAGAGTTGCCACACGGTAACTGTGAAAAGGGAAATCAAAATGATGAAATGTGTATGTATGGTAGCCGTTAGTCACTATTGTTTACCTTCTCATGATCCTGTGGAGTGACTTGGTTCTGCCCAGGACTAAAGGCACCAGGCTGGCTTCCACCCTGCAGACTTCCTCCTTGCAACCCTGCTCCCTGCATGACTGGGACCTAAATGCAAAAAAAGGGAAGAGATTTTTTGGAACTCCTAACATCTGGAGAACATGAACCCAGGGACAGCAGTAAGAAAAATTATGACCTCCAGATGGATATGAATTTGCGAATGCACACTAATGACTCTGGGCGTCATTTTCTATTGTTAGCAATGGTAGAAGAGAGGGGTTAGTCAGAGATGAACTAGCAAGTTAGACATACTGTCAACCAAGCTTTAGTGTCATCACACACTATGATTGCATGCCATTTAATCTAGCAAAATTCAGCCAAATAAGCACGGAGAAGACAGAACACCATCACCCTGGGAAGGAGTGCTTAGTGGAAACACAACACAAGGCAACAGGTATGTGTGCTGATCTACCGGGGAAGCTACATTCACAGAGCTACTGCCTAGTTCAATGTTATCCCAAAGAATCTTATCCCATTAGGAAGGCAGAAATAATCACAGGTCATAGAGACAGGAATGAGATGGAAAGGCCTCTGGGGAAAAGGTTGCTATTAGTCCTACATTTGCTTGTCATAGCTTTCAACAGAAGATATTCAATGCTTCTTGCTTAATATACACCAAAAATACAAGGCTACTCCAAAACGTTTGTGGAAAAGTGGAATTAGGGCTCAAGACAGTGGCTCAATAGCTAAATTGCAAGCACCTAGATCCTATATGGGCAATGGTTTGTGTCCCAGTTATTCCATTTTCAATCCAGCTCCCTGCTTGTGGCCTAGGAAAGCAGCAGAGGACAGCCCAAATCCTTGGGATCCTGCACCCACGTGGGAGACCTGGAAGAAGATGCTCCTGGCTCCTGGCTCCTGGCTTTGGATTGGCTCAGTTCTGGCCACTGCAGGCCATTTGGGGAGTGAACCAGCAGACGGAAGATCTGTCTCTCTTTCTCTCTGTAAATCTGATCTGTTTTTCTAATAAAATAAGCAAATCTTTTCTTAAAAAAAAAAAAGTGTAATTAAAAGTAATGTTGGGATGGACCCAGCACAGTAGCCTAGTGGCTAAAGTTTCAATTTGCATGTGCCTCGATCCCATAATGGGGCCGGTTCGTGTCTAGGATACCCTACTTCCCATCCAGCTCCCTGTTTGTGGCCTGGGAAAGCAACAGAGGATGGCCCAGGGCCTTGGGACCCTGCACCCACGTGGGAGATCCAGAAGGAGCTTCTGGCTCCTTGGCTTTGGACTGGCTAAGCTCTGGCCATCACAACTACTTGGGGAATGAACCAGAGGATGGAGGATCTTTTTCTCTCTCCTCTATGTGGATGATTTTCAACAAATAAATAAATAAGGCCAACATCCGCTATAGGCATCATTTGAGTTCTACCCTCTACACTTTCAATTCGGCTCCCTGCTAATGTTCCCAAGAAAGTAGCAAGATGGCTCAAGTGCTTGGGTGGTCACATCTTCATGGGAAAGCCAGACAAAGCTCTGGGCTCCTGGATGAGGCCTGGCTTAGCTAAGCTGTTGGCAGTCATCTGAGGGGTGGAGGTAAAGATGGAAGAACTCTGTCTCTCTTTATCTTCTATTTCTCTGCCTTTCGAAAAGATACTTAAAAAAAAGTAGCATGCATTTTCCATTGAATTTTCTGACATACCTGCATATGACTACTCACATAAAAGTGCAGTTAAATCATCTAAGCTCTTCAGTAAGTTGAACCCTTTGTACAACTGCCAGAACCCAGGGAAAGGCTTCTGAGTACCCAGCAGAATTGTGAGATCATTCTACAAAGAGTTTATACTCACACCCAAGCATTCATCCAAAACTTAGGTACTCTGACCAAATACAAATTTTCAATGAACATGTTATTTGCTTCTCCAGCAGATTAGAAGCAACAAAGCATAAAAGAAATGTTGCCAAACATCTATTAGGATCAGATAATATGACAGCAATGTGAATGCCCAAGGCAAAAGCCTGACAGTGAAGCAGAGCAGAAACCAAGCAGGAGACAGATTATGTTTTATATTATAGCATATATATGAATGGAGCTATTTAATGATGATCCTGAATAATAAAAGAAATAATTTTTGTATCTTAAGAAAGAAAGTATAAAATGCACTTGATATTTTTTCATTAAAATAGTTCAAAAGCCTGACAGAACAGTTCTATCATCTGGAACATCATTTACATGCATTAACTAATTTGCAAAGACAATGTGTCTATGAAGCATTGTATAGCTTTGTACAGAGTGCTAGAATATTATCACTGTTCTCTTTCAATTAATATTGAATCTAGAGACTGCACTGAACCCTCACACTTTTAAGGATCTGAAATACCTGTAAGATTTTTTAATATTACTAATATTCTTATTTGAAATATTACAATGTGATCTAATTCAATAACGGCTATTTTGTTTCTAGAAGGGGACGTTTTCATATAAGTGCAGGAAAGAGTGACCATACCTCATGGTTCATCTGAGGCAATCTCAGGTTTTGCTTTTGCCCAGAGTAAACTATTAACAGCACTCTAAAATATATTTCTTTCTTTGGATGGCATGTATAATTTTTGTGTGCCAATTAAAAAATAAATAAAATCCTGAATTCTGGCCATCTTATTAAGTAAGAAAAAAAGAAAGGTATGAGACAATGAAAAGGGGAAAAGAACACTTGTATTTGTTAGAAAGATACACAAAAATTCTCCCATCCAAGTACTAACCAGGCCCAACCCTGCTTAGCTTTCAAGATCAGACAAGACCGGGCGCGTTCAGGGTGGTATGACCGTAAACAGATACACAAAAATTCGAATAAAAGCATTTATCTACAGGACCCTGGGGGGGGGGGAAGGGGGATGCCATAGTGCAAACACGTATAAGATAATGTGATTCTTACTAAAAATGTTTAAAAAGATTTGAAAATAAAACTGTCTTTTACTGTCTCCACCTCAGATCTGCTCACCTTGCTAGACTCTGTTCATGAAAACTACATAAATCTAATGGTATTGAGTAATGATTCAATGACCAGCAAAGAAAATAGAGCAAGATATGCAGAAGTGGTCTTCCCATTATTACTTTCCATGTCGATATCCAGAGAATTAGCAGCAGGAATCCGTTAAAATGTAAGCACCATGTGAACAGGGACTTTGTTCACACTGCTGTTGTCTCCCCTATCTAGATCCTGTTTGGTATGCAACAGATGCTATCTACCCATTTGTTGAATGAGTGAATGCATGCACACAAAAATTCTATTATGAAGTTACTGACCACAGAGGCACAATAAAAATTAAGGCCCAGGAACGCATTTTTAAAAGTTATACATATCAGAAAAATCATGTGTTTACTTCAAGGACTATGTGGATATATATACCCCCCCCACACACACACACACAAGCGTGTAAAAGAACAAGACAGCAGCAGTGGAAAAACGGTGGATTCCATTCCTTGCCCTGTTGCGTTTCAGCTATGTGAATTTGATCAAATCACCTGATTCTTGGGCCTCGGTTTCCAAGCCTATAAAAGGAGGGAACTGGATGACTGACATGTTCCATTTCAATCCAGCTTTGACATCCCCTCCTCTTGCTCACACACAAACAGGGAGGAAGACATATAAACATGAAGATGTAAGAGACAAGTACACAGAGAGAGGAAAAAGGAGAAAGGGGGCTAGAGGGAAATGAAGGCGCTAACATGTAAAAATTCAGGGAAAATACACGTGCAAACCACCTTCCCACAGCCAATGAGGGATAAGGAGAGGGGAGATGGCAACTAGAAACCATTATAAGCACACAGCTGGGGAGAGCCAATACAGAGAGAAGACTTCAGTTCCACAGCTTTAAAAGGGTACTCATCAGGAAATATCTTTTCATTCCCTTGTTCACTTAGGCTGTGTGAGACAATAAATTAAATAAAGCACATCTCTGAAATCTTACAATTACCTAAATGACCACGAATAGTTCTTCATATGCTCTACCCTGGGGGTTCTCAGGGCTGCATACTAGAGTCATTTGGGGAAAGCCTTGTTAAACTACCCAAGCTGACAGCCTAATGATAGATTCTAACAAGCCTGCAGATGAGATGCAGGCAAGTCTATTTTGGAAGAAGCCTTGTATATGACATTGGTTTGTATCCCAATGAATAGTATCCCATAACGCCTTCATTTCAAAGAGCTCCGCTCTGAATGTAAATAGCAACTGATATTATAGGATAAAGCTGTTCTCTGGCATCACAATCCTAGTGGCCAGAAAAACCATTATCCTAAAGAACACAGAAAATAAAGGGAGATCCTTCCATCTCTAGTAATCTCAGAAAGAGTTCAAGTCACAACACAGTAACAGGCTCAACAACCAATTCCTGAATACAGCAAGATTCCACACAGCTGCTAGAAATGAACATTACACATACCTGTCTACCTCCCTGAGGGCCAACTGCCATATTCATTGGATTGGGACCTTGGATTCCACCAGGTAGAGGTCCTCTAGGACCAGGCACTGGGCCTCTGGGATCCATGCCTCTGGGCTCCATCCCCCTGACTTCCATGGCACGGGCCTCCATGGCACGGGCCTCCATAGCGCGAGCCTCCATGGCACGAGCCTCCATAGCACGGGCTTCCATTGCTCTGGCATCTAATCCTCTTGCCTCCATGGCTCGAGCCTCCATACTTCGTGCATCCATTCCTCGTGGATCTCGTCCACCTGTAAATAAATTTGTAAGATAACTACTGTGGAGCTACTCGCTTCCATTACAAGAACCAGCAAGGCTAAGAGACACAGGAATCTATTCTTGCTGCATTTCCCCTCAGCTGTGAGACTGTCTCTTTTTCAGTTTCTCAGATTTGTACATAAGCATTAAAGATGCTTGATGACCCCTACAGCTCCCTCCCTGTCCCAGCATTCTCTCTCCCAGTTTATAGTCAAAGAAAGCTAGGCTCACTATCAACTTAAGACTACCAATTAGTTTTGTGATGAGGTCTCTCCTTACCTCTGCCATCCAATGGTGGACCCCTCTGATCTAGCATAGGTCCTCTTGGCTCGGCCATTAGAGGTCTAGGCTCAGCTAGAGGCCCTCCCCTCATCTCATGTGGGGGTGGTCCACGGCTTTCATGGCCAGGGACATGGTGCATGGGTGGACCCTGATGAGGTGGTCCCAGGTAACCTCTAGAGATGAAAAGAAATATTACATAAAAGCTGTAGAGATATGTATCTATTTATTACAGAATTTGATATTTGGTAGCACTCATAATTAGGGAAGAATTAATGGAGAGTCATTATATGAAAAGAAACACTGGTTCTGGATTCGGAACACATGGGTTCAAAACTAGCTCCCATCATTTGCTAGCTGTGTGATCTTAGGCACATTTGCTTAACTTTTCTATGCTCCCATAGTTTCTTACCTATAAAACAGAACTAACATTAACCAGCGTTTAGAAAGGTCATTCTGTGGGTTTGAGATGATTAAGGAAAAGTTCTCGGGAGGAAAGTCAGATATAATCCTTGTTTAATGTAAACTATTACTATTGATGTTATCACCAACACATTTTCCCTATCTAGATATGTATACTAGGATTTCCAACTTCTGAAAACATATAGTAGCCATGGTTAGCTTGAAAGGATATCTGCCTTAAGAGAAGAGCTTGTGTTAGACAGTGACCATGAACTTTATCTTTTGAAGTAGGCAACTGATATAACTTGTACAGAAAGACTGTTCTCAAGACAAAGGAAAACCCCAATTTTCCAATTGTTTTCTTCTGTGTTTGTACTTACCTAGGCTCTACGTCTCCAGTGACAGAAAGTAAAGTGCCTCCTCGTGGGTCATTCGGGGCATCTCCTAAAAGACCTCGAGGAGTTGGAACATTGGCAGGCAAAGATCCTCGCTGCAGAGCTGCTCTGGGGTCTTGCATCGGCACTGACAGGGAAACAAATGGGGAGTTACTGCTGGGAAGGACACATAAAGAAAACAGAGGTGACTCTATATACCACTGACAATGTAATTCAGACACCTTAGAGCGGGGGACAATGCACCACAGCAGAATCCTCTTGTAGCTCAAGAACAGAAGTAGAGTGTAGGCAGGATCTGTGACATGTCAGAAGTATGGATGGAATTATACAGAGAACAAACTGGGGAACAACTTGCCAAGGTCAAGCACTGCAACCTGAAGAACCTTAGGCTCCTGTGTTTCCTTCTAATCAGTCTTAGTTCAAGTATCAGAGTTACAAATGAGAGGTAGGGTCCTGGCATAAGCAAATACTGCTATGGTTCTACAAGAACCTGCTGTCTCCTCAACCTGTTGTTGTTCCACCCAAGCCTCCTGACACCAGGAGGGAGGGAGTACAGCCTTGGACAGACATCAATATCATCCATGGTCCCTGCTGTAGGTGAAAAGGTCAATCTTCAGCTTGTGGCCGCAGTAGGAAAAAATTAGGAAAAAATACATCCCAACATCCCTCCCCCCAAACACTACTCTTTTGAGTTCTGAATGCAAGAATGACTGCCAGACAACACTTTTATCTCACAGCCCCACCCTGAACACCACAAGCAAAAGGAAACCCGCAGATGCAATGGGTACCTTGAACTCGCTCAATTGATGCAGGCCCGGCGGGTCCCACGGGCGAGTGCTGTAGGGTTCCTAGGTGAGCAGTAAGTTCAAAAGGAGAAAAAGTAGATACTTAAAACAGCTTGCACACAGACACATACACACATGGAAACTGGAGCTGTATACAAGGAAGTTAACAAGCCAAGGGTCCATTAGCTTCCCATCAGCTATAAAATCTTCCTAAAGCACACAAGCTTTTTTGGGTACCCGAAAGTGTCCCACTTTTCACCAGACAGCTTCCTAAAGGGAAACATGCAGGGCTGTACTTATCTGGCAGGAATAACCAGCCATTTTCCATTTTTACCCCTACAACCACGTCTTTCCCCTTAATGTCCTGGTGATGCTATTAAAACACGCACACACATACACACAAAATATACAAAGGGAACTTTGAATGTCTAGTTAAAGAAAGAAAAAAGTGAACATATATTCAGAAGTAAAACATGAAAAAAATGACACTGAATCTGGAAGCGAGATTTATTCTGGAAAGAGCATAAAAATTCATTATCAAAAAAGTATTGAAATGGGAAATGTATGAAATGATTTTCAGATGATATTACTCCACAAGCACTTTGCCATAACCATTGTTTTCTTAACACATAGCATGACCACAGCAAACAAAAAAGTAATGTGGTAAAGGCACCTGCTATATACAAAGATGGTTAGAAAGCAAGAAGAACATTCTCAAATACCTCATTGCCTCTTTTCACCATTACACATGCCGAAAACAAACATGAGATTACAGAAAAGGAAGAGAAACTGGGTGCAAATGAAAAGATGTTACTCTTCTGCTAGGTACTGAAGAAAATTATAAAAGAAATTTCACCATACTTCTGTCTCTTCATGAAGACACCCTTCACATACCCTTACCATATGGATAATTTTCCTTTGTTAATTTTAGACCAGAAAAGTGAACTACAGCAGGAACAAAAGATGTCTTCTGGAAATATGTGTTACACAGCTAAAGTTTCATTGATTAATGGCTAGCCTGGGAAGACACAGAAGCATGACTGAAGCCTTAATTCTTTCTTGCTCCTACAAAAACACTTTGGGGTACACAGATTGCCAGCGGGGATGGTCCACAACAGAAAAACACAGGACGCTTAGACAAAAGACAAGGTACTTGGCCAGGAGTTTGTTCTGCTGTCAGACAACAAATTATGGGCCTATATCTTTTTCAAAAAAATTGAAATGATCCATTTTTACTTGAAAGTCTGAATTACAATGTGGGGAGAGAAATATAAACATAGAGAAAGATTTCTTCCGTTCACTTGATCACTGCGCAATTACTTCTGATGGCCAGAGCTGAGCTGCTTCCAAGCTGGGAGCCAGGAGATTCTTCTAGGTCTCCCATGGGGTGCAGGGTCCCAAGGATCCACCCTATGCTGTTTTCCCAGGCCATAAGAAGGGAACTGGATTAGAAGTGGAGCAGCCTGGACTCAAACTGCCACCCTTATGGGATACTGACACCAGAGGCAGAGGATTAGCTTGCTAAGCCACTGCACTGGACCAAGGCCTATATATTAATATTTTGCTGTTAAACGGGTTTCACTTTTGGGATCTATACTAGGATTAAAAAAAAAAAAACAACTCTAGCTTCTAGATGCTTATCCAAAGAAGTCATTTCTCAATACAGTGACCCAGTGCATAGAAGCAGAAAACACTGAAGAACATTATGGTCTGGTGCAATGGCCTGGTGGCTAAAGCAGTAGAGGATGGCCCAGGGCCTTGGACCCTGCACCATGTGGGAGACCCAGAAGAAGCTCTTAGCTCCTGGCTTCAGATCAGCTCAGCTCTAACCATTTGCAGCCACTTGGGAAGTCAACCAGGGGATGGAAGATCTTTCTCTGTCTCTGCTTCTCTCTGTAAATCTGCCTTTTAAAGAAATAAATCTTTAAAAAAAAAAAAAGAAATTAATATGAGGCAATGTGGGGCTTTGTTGTGGTGTAGCCTGTTAAGCTGTTTACTCTAATGCTGGCATCCCATATGTAATCCAGTTAGTGTCACAGCTGACCTGCTTCTTATTCAGCTCCCTGCTAGCGATCTGGCAAAAGCAGCAGAGGATGGCCCATACACTGGACCACTGTCACCCATGTGGGAGACCTGCAAGAAGCTCCTGGCTCATAGCTTCAGCCTGGCCAACTCTGGCTGCTATGGCCAGCTGGCCATGAAGCAGCGGATGAAAGATCTTTCTGTAATTCTGATTTTCAAAATAAACAAATGAATATTAAAAAATAAGAGGCAATGTGATGTGACAGGGTAACTATTGTTTCTGAAATCAAAGATTTCTGTATTTTAACTCTGCCACCTCCTATCTGGAGGAGAGGACGAGCGCACCAACACCAGCTCATGTCACCTGAGATTTCAGGGCCAACTTACCTTGTTCCCTTGAGCAAGTAACTTCCAACTCGGAGCTTCCATCTTTTTGCCTGCAAAGCTGATGTGCTGCCACCTAACTCTCAAGGTTGTTACTGCAAGCTGCAGTGTGACACAGTGTGCAGCAGATGGCTCCTCTTTTCTCTCCCTCTCTTCCTGATGCTGTTTTCAATCAAACCTCTGCATTTCTTTTTCAACACAGATAAATGATGTGGAGATTTGGGACGGTCACTGTCCCTGCTGTCTATATTACTGCCACAATTAAAGGACTGACAGACTGTCGGCATACCCAAGCCATAATAAATGCTCATAACCACAATTTCTCAATCAACAAACGGTCACAGAGGGAGAAAGAACATGTAAGTGGAGTCACTAGGCTATCAGGAAACAAGAGCTCCGCTTGCTTCATCATCAAATCTTGCAGAGCAGAGCTCTAAATCACTAGGTGGAAAGTCTAGCCCAGCACTATCCAACAGAACTTTCTGTGATGAGAGATACAAGTTCTATAACTGCAATGTCCAATAGGGTACATGGATTGAAAAGCTGACTTGTTTAATTTACAAACTGAATTTAAATTTTACTGAGTTTCAGTTAACTTTATTTAAACAGTCACTGGTGGTATATTCCACAGTGCAGATATGGAACATTAACATGAGCCAAGTCCAATCCGACACTAATATGTGTTTACCTTGTCCTCGTTCCATGGGCACCGGTCCACCTCCTGGCATCCCAACCTGGGTCTGCATTCCCCCTAGAAGATAAAGGGTGGAAAGAAAAATCAATGAGGACAGTAGTTTTTACACTGGCAGCATAGGCTGCAAGTACCTGTTATGTTTTGCTTCTACTGTAGAGCTGTACCTGAATTTTCATCTATTACACATTTAAAAAATTTTGGTTGCTTACTCATTTTTTTAACAATATTTTTTTAAATTGGAGAGGTAGGTCAGAATTAAAGAGAGAAGGAGAAACAGAGAGATCTTTAGCCTACTGGTTTATTCCCTTAGTGGCCACAATGGCTGCAGCTGAGCCGAACTAAACAAGGAGCCAGGGGCACTAATTTAAAATCTAACATTTAATAAATTTGGGCCCTGCACAGTAGCTTAGTGGCTAAGTCTTCGCCTTGCATGTTCCAGATCTCATATGGGCACCAGTTCGTATCCCAGCTGCTCCACTTTCCATCCAGCTCCCTGCTTGTGGCCTGGGAAAAGCAGTAAAGGATGGCCCAAAGCATTGGGACCCTGCACCCGCATGGGAGACCCAGAAGAAGCTCCTGGCTCCTGGCTTCAGATAAGCTCAGCTCTGGACATCATGGCCACTTGGGGAGTGAATCAATGGATGGAAAATCTTTCTGTCTCTCCTTCTCTCTGTAAAATCTGACTTTCCAATAAAAATAAAATCTTAAAAAAAGTCCTTATCTTGCCACAACATTCTGTTCCGTTCTACTCGTTCTATTAAAATCAATTACCAGAAGCAACCAAAAGATAAGATCTGAGGGAAGAGCAGAAGACATTTAGGGTATAATTTTTTTACATTATACATTATCCTATAACAGTGCTTTTATTCGTATGAGCTAAATTCCCAGAAGTATAATTGGGGGGTTAAACTGTGTGGGAATATTTAATGTTAGCTGACTTTATTAAAACTGAAACGCTTCTCATTTTCTTTTTTCTTTTTCAAGATTTATTTTTATAGGGAAGGCAGATTTACACAGGAAGGAGAGCCAGACCCTCCATCCACTGGTTCACTCCTTAAGTGACCATAACACTCAGAGCTGAGCTCATCTGAAGCCAGGAGGCAGGAGCTCTTCTGGGTCTCGCACACAGGTGCAGGGTCCCAAGGCTTTGGGCTGTCCTCTACTGCTTTCCCAGGCCACAAGCAGGGAGCTGGATGGGAAGTGGAGCAGCCAGGACACGCACCTGTGGCCATAGAAGATGTGGCCCTGGGAAGTGAAGTGTGAACCAATTAATCATCCTACTGGGTCCCAAACTTCTTTTTTATCAGCAATGTGTGAATACTACTTCCTGCATCAATACTGTTATGTCACATTATTATTATTTTTAAAGATATATTTATTTTTCTAGGAAAGTCAGATTTACAGAGAAGGAGAAACAGAGAGAAAGATCTTCCATCTGCTAGTTCACACCTCCAAGTAGCTGCAATGACCAGAGCTAAGCCAATCTAAAGCAAGGAGCTAGGAGCTTCTTCCAGGTCTCCCATGCGGGGATAAGGTCCCAAGGGCTTTGGGCCATCCGTGATTGCTTTCCTATGCTACAATCAGGGAACTAGATAGTAAGTGGAGCAGCTGGGATATGAACCAGTGTCCATATGAAACCCTGGTTCATGCAAGATGAAGACTTAGCCACTAGGCTATCTCACTGGATCCTTGTTACCACACTTAAAAAAAAAAAAATCTGTTAATTTGATGGGTTTGGGCTAAGTGAGGTCTGTTATTTAATTTGTAATCACCTAACTGAAAATGAATTTGTTGTGGTAGGTTATTTGGACTCATTCTTTTATGAAGTACTTATTCATTTTCTTTGACCACTTTGTTCTGAGGCTCTCTCTCCTCAACTATGGAAAAGCTCTGTATCTGAAACAAAAAAAAAAATCTTAGTTAAGTGTTATTTTAGAAGGGCAAATGTTACAAATTCACAAAAAATCATTTGAAAGTTTAATTACTTAAACTTCTTTTATACTTTCAATTTTCATCCTTATTGATTTCCTTGTCCTGATACCTTCTGGTTCATTATTTTTCTAATTCCTTAAACCTAGCACATAGAGTTCTGTATTTTATTAATACAGGTATTTAAAGGTATTCATTTTCCCTTAAGTGCTGCCTTCCTTATTTCTCACACTTTAAAACATATGTATTTATGTGGAAGACAGATTAAAAGAGAAAGGAGAGAGAAATCAATCTTCCATCTTTTGTTTCACTTTCCAAATGGCTTCAACAGCCAGGTCTAGGACAGGGCGAAACCAGTGGCAGGAGCTCCATTTGAGCTGCCCACATGAGTGGCACTTAGACATCTCCCAGTACCTTTTCAGGCACATCAGAAGAGGGCTAAATCAGAAGCAAAGCAGCCAGGAATTGAACTGGCTGTAGGATATCTGATGCTAACATCACAAGCAGTGTCTTAACCCACTCTACCACATGCTGGCCTCACTCACACTTTTTGTCTCGCTCACGTACATTCACACACATGGTTCTTGCTATCTTTCAGGAAATTCATAATCTTTGACATTTCCTCTTTAATTGAAAGATTACTGACAGTATGTCCCTTAATCTTCCAAGAACAGATTATTTTAGTCACATTTTAATATCTCTACCTTAATTGGCTTATAATTAAAGAATATGGTCTGCAAAACTGTCTTTTCTTCTAAATTTGCTAAGATTTTATCTTATGCCTAAAGATGTAGTCTTGCCCACTAGCACATTATTCAAAATGTCACCCACCAACGGTGCTGATCTACATACTGTGTGCTAACAGCTTATGACAAGCTAAGGACAGAAATGGAGAGCGGGCACATAGAAACTTTTATAGCACTCTCACACTGCTGTGACATTCAAGTATGAGACCACACTGCATGTGTCTCACTGAACAAGATATGGACCAATCCAAGCACTTTTCAACACCTGTAACAACCTGTACACTATTATGGCTTGCATACATGTAATATAAAAGGACAACTTGCAACATTTTAAGGTAACCTAGACTCCTATAAATCAAAACTGCATAAAAGTTTGAGCCGATTTTTCTTTTATAGATTTAGAACTCAATTAGGATAATATGGATAATGAAAAATCTGATTTACTGAAAATTTCTTTAAAAATCCATCCCCTGTGCCATGGCAGAGCAGGATGAGAGAGGTGTGTGCTCCTGGTTCCAGTGAGACTCCTGGAGACCTCCCAAGTGCTCTTCATTGCAGAAGCAACAGACACTTTGTCAGAAAGAATGCCCAGGGCCATGTCCCAACTACCAAGGAGGTCATTGGAGATCCGACTGTCCTCGAAGGCCAAGTACTTCAGGTCAGTCATTTCCCATTGGATCTCCCACATGGGACAAGAAGCAGCCTGGGAACCTGCACAGGCTCTAGGCCATCCACAGACTTCGGGGACACCTCACAACAGCACCCAGGAGCCCCGGGTGGTTCTCACAGTGGAAGGGAAAACTGTCCTAGCTAGCTTTGGTTTCTTCCCTCTCTTAGGGTCACCATCAGGGTCTCTCAGGAGCCCCAAATTAGCTTAGGTGACAGACAGACTAATCTAGAAGCTCAGAAAAGCAGCTTTTCTAGGGAAAAGTTAGTTAGCCTGTAACTGCTCAGCCTGTATTGCTGCCAGGCTCCTGACAGGGCATATATGCCATCTCCCTCTTCAGCTCTTGGCTAGACATCACTAGGTAGGACACCCTCACTATTCAGAGGCAGGGTTCATGTGTTCCTCATTTACTAAACCATTGGGGATTTCTCTGTTCATATATTTAAGACTCTTCTGTTCTCCAACTGTCAATGTACGGCTTGTTACAAAAACAGGACTAGTTCATTGCCTTTGCCCTAATGTGTGAAGTTTTGTGAATTCTTACTAGAATGTCATAAGCTGTTGGGTTATTATAATTCACAACTAGTTAAATCTTTTGCCATCTACGCTATGATCCAGATAAGTCTTGTAATGAAATGTTTTTAGTGTTGTGCTTTATGTTTTAGGCTCAATGTCTTCTGACACTCTTAGGGTTTCCAGCAACTGGTAAAGTACAATTGTTATTTTAAAAAATCCATCACTTGTATACAAAACAACTGTAGTGTTTTCAAAAGTCAAGTAAGTTTAAATCTTAATTCAGGATTGTCAATGCTAGACGAAATTGTAACTCCATGGAAACTTAACGTTTACATGTACTATATAGGTTCAAGTCTTAATGTCACATGTTAACTTTCATTGGTTCTGTGCCTTCTAATGGTCCTAGATAACAATTTCATGTAGCTCAGAAAGTTTCATGTGTTCTATAATGCTCACTGAGTTTAACTGTTTCAAAACTTGAGCTTTAAAAGAGTTAATTTAAACCTATGAATCTAGTTCATAGTCTTAAACTAAACTGCTCAAGTCAATGTTTGCTCTAACAAAATGTTTCTCATATCTAAGTTCTAAAACTCAAGTATTCAAACTGGTGCTTCCGCCGAGCCCATTACATATTAGGTTGGGAGAGATTATAATTGTCTTTGTTTTGTCATCTAGACTTCAACAAGAAGGAACACTCGGAGCCTGAACAACCTGCCAGACACCTCTGATGACTTCTGCCAGGCGCTTCTGATGACTTCTGCGTTCTGCTGGGGACCCTTAGACAGACCCCCCCCCAGAGGAATACCCAACTGCTGCCTTTGAACTACATCCCCTGTCAGCGGAAGCAGCCAGAGCCATCACTGTCCCATTTCCCCGCTAACAGCAGTTAGGGTTACTTCTTCTGGGGGGCGGAATGTGAGAGGAGTTAGACTGGGCAGTAGGCAGTTAGGGTATTCTGGGTCCCCAAGTCATTTTCTCAAATATAAAATCCCCCATGTCTTAGATTCACCAGAGCGCATCTCTTCCAAGAGACAAGGGTGACATTAACATATCAATTCCCCACCTGAAGCATCAGCCCCATTCTGTCTCCAGCCATTGTCAAGTGGGAGGGCTTCAGACTGGCCTCTTTATCATTAGAAAGGGACCAAGGAAGTTGGCCAGAGACACCTTTCTGGCCTTTTGTCCCAAGGCCAGGTACCATGGAAACCAGGAATTTTCTTTGTTTATGGAGAAACATCTTGAGGTAAACCTTTAAAAAGATGCTTTTCCCCACCATTAATATGGGTTCTTCTTATCCTCCTGCCACTATGGCAGTGGACTAGGGTCTTTTTCACTTTTGTTCCTGCCACTATGGCAGGGGTAAGGGTCCTTTCTATCTCAAAGCCCCCTCCCGTCACTGAGAAGAGTCTCTCTTCTCAGCTTTTCTAATAAATCTTGCTCTAAAACTAAAAAAAAAAAAAAAAAAAAAAAAAAAAGCCATCCCCTGCAGCTCAATGTGGTAGCTCAGCACCTTAAGTCCTCGCCTTGAATGCACCGGGATCCTATATGGTCTCCAATTCCAGCAGTCCTGCTTCCCATCCAGCTCCCTGTTTGTGGCCTGGGAAAGCAGTCGAGGACGGCCCAAAGCATTGGCACCCTGCACCCGTGTGGGAGACCTGGAGAAGCTCCTGGCTCCTTGCTTTAGATCTGCTCAGCTCTGGCCATTGTGGCCTCTTGGGGAGTGAATCAGCGGATGGGAGATCTTCCTGTTTCTCCTTTTCTCTACAAATCTGACTTTGCAATAAAAATAAATAAATCTTTAAAAAAATCCACCCTTGGGGCCTGGTGCAGTAACCTAGTGGCTACATCTTTGTCTTGCATGCCCAGGATCCCATATAGGTGCTGATTCATGTCCCAACTGTTCCACTTCCTATCCAGCACCCTGCTTATAAACTGGGAAAGCAGAGGATGGACCATGGCTTTGGGACCCTGCACCAAAGTTGCAGACCTGGAAGAGGTTCTTGGGTCCTGGCTTCAGATCGGCTAAGCTCCAGCCATTGCAATTACTTGGAGAGTGAGCCAGCAGATGGAGGATCTTTCTCTTTGTATGTCCTTCTCTCTGTATCTTTCTAATAAAAGTAATTAAAATCTTAAAAAAAAATCCAATCCCTGCCAATTTAGCTGTGTGGACTGATTTCTCTACAAAACAGTCATCTAAATCGTTCTCATGAGCAGCATTATGGTCAATCTAACTCATATTAGGGAAATAAAACAAAGAAAGTTATTGTATAAAAAACTTTAAATGTCGATAAAACATCTTAGAGTCACAAAGGTATTCATATAAAAACGGGTTATTTTTCTCAGCGGTTTTAGGTACAATGAGATGTTAACTGGGTCAGCATTGCAGTGCATGGGGACAAGCACTCATTCACAATACCACCGTTCCATATCAGAGCACTGAATTGAATCCCCGATGTTCTCTTCTGATCCAGTTCCCTGCTAACACGCCTGAGAAGGCAGGAGAAGACAGAGCAACCACTTGGGCCCCTGCTGCCCACGTGCAAAACGGGGCTGGAGTTTCTGGCTCCTAGTCATGGCCTGGCCCAGCCCTGACTATTGCAAACATTTGGGGAGTGAATCAGCTAATACAAGACTTTTCTGTCTCTCAGTTACTGTGGCAACTAAATAAAATCTTTTTTAAAAGGAAAATTAACTGTAATAGCAATATTCTTAATTACCTATCGATATACTTTCAATGAGCAGAGTTTTTAAGCTGCTTTTTTGTTGTTGTTGTTCTGATTATATTTATTGAAACATAGTTTTTGGCCTGACAAACACAGTAACAGATGGGACTATGTATTCTGTGCTTGTGTTTGTCTTTTTTATGAGCTTTTTAACCTGGTCTAATAGTCTCTAGCTTTTGATGGGAGAATTCAGTCCATTCACAGCTACCCAAATAACAAATTTTTTGGGGGTGCAATAACTTTAAAAACCATGAAATTTTAAAACATGCACATTCCATGGCTTTCTAATATACTCTCTTGTATTCATTTTATAATCAAGATCCTATTACCACAAAACAATCTGGCTTCACCTCAACAGCTGTGATGACAAAACTTTAGCAAAGTAGAGAAATGGTAAAAGACTCTAAATGAGAGTTACCTCCAGGAGCTAAGGGACCAGGGCCAGGTCCTGTGACAGCAGCCGGCATCTGCCCTGGTGCTGGAACACCACCTTGCATAGAGGCTTGCATAAGAGGAGGTGCACCATTGACATGCATTCCACCCTGACCAAGACAAAAAGCATAGTATGTAGTTGCTTTCATGGAGACTTAACACACTAAGTCTGTTTTAAAGCTTCATAAAATTCACAGTCCTAAGTATATTACCAAGCGTTCTTTTGGTATAGAATGTCTCACAGGACATTAAATCTATCATACACTCTGAATTTCAAAGAAGCAAGTGGCAATACTTATCATGAGCATGTTTATATGAAACACAGTTAAGATTCAGCATATTCTACAAACTGAGACAGATAAGCCTTATCTCTGCGGCAAGGCAGCATAGAGCATAGAAGCTGTCAACTTTATAACTGGGGCCAGGCATTAAGAGCATTAACAACAACAAGGAATGCCCCAAACTCCAGACACAACCACCGGTCATCTGTTTTTCAGATGAAAAGCGGCTTTTAAAACTTTCATCAATTTTCCCTCACTCCTGTCCTCACATATAATTCTAGTCTGGGAGGGGAGAAATGTCAGATTTTTAAAAAAAAAAAAAGATTTAGAGTGACAGACAAACACAGTGGGACAGAGAGACTGATCTATCTCCCATCTGCTGGTTTACTTTCCAAATGCCTGGAATATCCGGGACTGGGCCAGGCGAAAGCCAGAAGCTTGGAATTCCATCTAAATCTCCCCTGAGGGTAGTGGAAGCCCAGCAACTTGGATCATCTGCTGTTCTTTCGACCCATTAGCAAGGAGCTAGATTAGAAGCACAGCAGTTGAGACTTGAAGCAGTGCCCATATGGGATGTCAGCATCAAAGGATGAGGCCCATCCCTCTGTCACAATATGAGTGCTGGAATGTTATAAAGATCCTTGGAGAGAAAACAAGGTTCCTTGGAGGAAAGGCAAATGTTATCTTTTTATCTTCTGTACTCCATAGGGAACTGAGAACTATCTTTGAAAAGAAAGAGTCTAATAAATAAAAAGCTAAGCCATAAAAAAAAAATCACACATACACTTGGAGAACACGAACAAAACTGAAACAGAAAGGAGGAAGCCATACACAGAGATGGGTAAGAGAAAATAGGCTATGAGGTCAAATCAAACCTGGTTCAGATGCCTGACTTGCCATTTACAATTGTGTTAATTTTGGACCAGCTACTTTCTTTTAGTTTAATCTTGCCTTTCTTTAGGGAAAGTATTTCTTGAAAGCAGAGGCTGGCAAAGTATGGTCCAAGGGCCAAAACTATTTGGTATTATAAACATCATCTTACTGGAACACAACCACACACACTTTAGGTATTATTTATGACTGATTTTACAGTAATATGGTAGGGTAGTTGTGACAGAGATCCTGATGACCTGCAAAGCCAAAAGTATTTACTATCTTGGAATTTACAGAAAATGTTTGCTGACCTCTGCCCTGTACATCTGTACAATCCATCCATCTTGTTTAGCTCTGCCACCCTAATAGGTAAAAAAATGGTAGATTATAGTTTATATTTATCTTGAGTTTGAATACTTTTTCATACATTTATATATTCTACTTTTGTAAACTGCTTACATTCACTGCCCAATTACTACTGGGTTATTGGTGATTTCATAACTAATTTATAAGAGGTTTTTTTTTAATTATGAAAAATTACAGAGTTTTAAATCATTAGAAAATAATCACCCAACTTTGCAAAAAATTATAAGTTCAAAATCTTCCATATGATCTTTCCAAATTGCATACTGAATCCTCTTCTTAAACACTAGACATTTTTTACATATTTAACAATTTTTAAACTTTGTGAGAGGGAGAGAGAGGGGGGTGACCACTTATACTCCCATGGGTTGGTTCACTCCCCAGTTGTCTATTGCGCCTGAGAAAGGCCAAAGATGGGAGCAGGGAACTCAACCTAGGTCTCCCACATAAGTATCAGGGACTCAATCACCTGAGACAGGTGCACTACCTCCCAGGTTCTGCATTAGCAGAAAGCTGGAGAAAGGAGCTAGAGCCAGGGATTAAACCCAGGCACTCCAACATAGAATGCAGGCATTACAAACAGTGGCTTAATCACTGTGTCAGAGGGTTGCACCAGATGTTTATAAACTTTTTATATGAATCATTACATATTGAATATATTTTTGCTAACTTACTCAACATATCTTCAGGATTTATTTCTGTAGATTGATGCAGAAACACAACATGACACATTTCGGGAAATTTTTCACTGCTTCACTTTCACATGGTACTGTTTTTAACTTATCTAAGTTGATGCCTCACATCTTAGTCCATCTTACTGCTTTAGACAGTTATGGTTCTGAAAGTCATCCATGCTGACAGATGTAGTTTAACTTTTGCAGAGTATTTCGTTGGGTAAATAAGTTTTCTCTGTTCTCCCAGCAATGCACATTTAGGAAGTGTTCAATTAAAAAAAAATCCATTATTTTTGTTTGAAAGGCAGACTTACACAGAGAAAGAGAGACAGAGATATTTTCACCTGCTGGTTTACTCCCAAAGTGGCCACAATGACTGGAGCTGAGCTGATCCAAAGCCAGGAGCCAGGAACTTCTTCCAGGTCTCCCATGTGGGTACAGGGTCCCAAGGACTTGATCTGGGCCATCTTCCATTGCTGTCCCAGGTCATAAGTGGGGAGTTGGATCGAAAGTGGAATAGCTGAGACATGAACCAGCATTGATATAGGATGCGGCTGCAATAGGGCAGATCAGCATGTTGTGCCACTATGCTGGCCCAAGAATATTTACAATTTTTTTTTGCTATTATAATAAGGCAATAAATAATTTTAAACACCCATTACAGCTCTTTATTAATCAGCCTTTTATCTCTCTTATGTGTGATAAATAGTTTTTTTCCTAATTTATCATTTGTCTTTGATTTTTCTCTGTTCACATCTTCAGGGTTTTGTCATATTTGGGAAGTGAATTTCTATTTTCCTTGATAATAAAGAAAACAAAGGTGCGACCTCAGGACTGGTGTTGTGGCACAGTGGCTTAAGAGGTCACCTGCAACACCAGCATCCCATCTTAATCCTGGTTGCTCCACTTCCGTTGTAGCTCCCTGCTAATGCACCTGGGAAACAATGGCCCAGACACTTGGGCCCTTGTACCCAGGTGGGAGACGTGGTTGGAGCTCTAAGCTCCTGGCTTTGCTGTGGTAATTTGGGGAGGGAACCAGCAGATGGAAGAATAATCTGTTTCGCTCTTTTTTTCTTCTCTGTATCTTTGCCAGGCAAACAAATAAATAAATATTAAACAAAAATTAAGAATGTTAACCTCATTTAAACACTGTGAAGACAAATATGATAATGTACATGGAATAATGAAGGACCAACCACAGTATATGCATATCTGGTAATACATACAAAGTTAACTTGTAAGAAAAAAAAAAACAAATCTCTATTTCACAGAACTAAAACTGAATCATTATTGATTCAGATGCTGTTAATTTCTGAAACCTGGAAATTGTCAAGTATCATCTCTATTTCCTGACCATTCTTTTTCAAGACTTTCTCCTAAAAAGTACATGATATTCTCAGACAAAAGAAATATGAAAGAATAAGTCCTACCAAAGCCTGGGCCTGAGGAGCCTGAGGATTCTGCTGGTTCATTGGCACACCGGGTGCTGAGCCAGGCCCAGCAGCATGGACTGGCTGGGGGTTGCCTGTAATCAGTGTTGGAATATTTGTTTGGCGATGCAGAATTTTCTAAAAAGTGAAAAGAAAACCCTGTGAGCTGTCTTGTTTAACAACACAATAATGCAGCTCCTATCCCACTCAAGGTATGTCGTCCCATTGCCATAGAAGAAACAGAAGCACTCACCAGGGCAATCTCTGGATCAACAATTCTCATCACTACCTGTGCTTGCAGCAGAGCATAAGCCAGCTGAGGGTTCTGAAGTAGCATGTTCCGTGCTTCCTGAGGACTATTCTGGACACAGAGCTGAGAAGAGAAGCAAATCCCATTATCAGGTTTCGTGTTTATTTGCCTGGAAACAGAGAGTGATCTAGAACTTTCCCATCTGAGAAAGGTTAATACTCAAGAGGCTGCTTCAGCCATCAGATTTTTTTTTTTTACATGGCACATAAAGTCTGGGTCACGGAAGTCAGGAGAAGGAAAAGGCATTTTAAATCTAGTGACAAGATCATTTAGGAAAAAAGCCACATTTAAATATCTGTATCTGATATCTATGGGTCATAAAAACCCAGCTGTCTGAACGGATTCATTTGTACATATAAAAATAGCAAGTTTTTGCACAAAATAAATATACTGTGTACACATGGACTACTGAATGTGCTAGAAATACTGGTATTCAGCCACAAGTTCTGTTTAAGATCAGGAAATGCTTTCTATTAACTCATTAATTAACTTCTTGGAAATCTAATGTAAATTACTTTATCCTTAACCTAATGCCTCCTCCCACCTTCATTTGTTTCATCAGTTCAAACATTTGCTCTGGTGGAAGACTGGCAACTGCTTTGCTAATTGACTCAGGGGCATCCTCAGGACTGATGGTCTCTCCATAAGGTGACTCAATGACTGGGGCACCAGTGCCAAGGCCTGATTGGGAGAAAAAAAAAGGTAGAAATTAGGGGGAGAAATAAAAAGCTAAGTCATTGCAAGCATCTATTTCTCAGGATTGTTGTATGGGTCAGTTGATAACCTCCCATTTTTTGAAGGTCTGAAAATCTGGTTTCCATGGAGGAAAGTCAGAGGATAGTTAATGTTGTCAAAGGAGAGCTGGGAGCATAATCACACAGATAAAAACTAGAAAGCAATTCGTATTGACTTCTCAAGTTATTTCAGAAGCAAAAAGTGCTAACAGAAAAAAGATGCTGATTTCAAAACAAAATTCCTGGGTCTATTACTATGACATTTTTAGCACTACTAGTGGCCTGATGAACCTGGAACTTTATTCCACTTTGTGTTCTCAAAAGACACACGCTTCACTAACTCAGGCACCTTGATTAAAAAGTGGTATGGGTAAGCATGTCAAGATATGCTAAAACATATAATAAACAGAACACTTTAATTATCACATTAATCATAATTCATATTTTCATACAACTTGGGTTTACACTTACTCTTCAGCTCTTCTTTGTTCTTTTCACTGGCCGCATTGTCCACTCGAAGTGCTCTTCCACTGAACTCACGCCCATTCAGGTTCCGCATGGCACTAAGTGCTGTCTCTTGGTCTTGATATTCACAGAAGCCATATCCCTTTGGTTTTCCTGTCTCCCTATCATATACCAATCTAGAGAGCAGAACCAGATATCAGGAACAAATGGTACAGGTACATACACATATACACACACAGCATTCCTGCTAACAATGCCACATTCTAATTTGGTCCACTATAACATGAATAACCTTATAACTGCCTCACTGAAATATTTAAGAGGCTAACATTTGTGAGCAGTGGGTAAAGCTGCCACCTGCAGGGACAGTATCCCATGGGATGCCACTTTGAGTCCCAGCTGCCTTACTTTCCAAAGTTCCCTGTTAATGTACCTGGGAATGCTGCAGCAGATGGCCCATGTGCTTGGTCCCCTGCACCCACGTGAGAGACCTGGATGAAGCTCCTGGCTCCTGGCTTCAACCTGGCCAAATCCTAGCTGCTGTAGTCATTTGAAGAGTGAACTGGGGGAAGGAAGATCTCTCTTTCTCATTGCCTCTGCATCACTGAGTCAAATAAATAAAGGAAAAAGTCCTTTATATTTATTTGAAACATAGGGTGATAGGAAGGATTGCCCATCTACTGGTTTACTCTACAAACAGCTTCAAATTACGTGGGAGCCAAACAGGAGCCAGAAATTCCATCCTGGGTGGCAGAGGCCATCTTCTACTGTCTTCTCAGATACATCAGCAGAAAGCAAGTAAGGGAAGCAGAGCAGCCAGAACTCAAACCAGTACTCTGACGTGGATGACAATATTGCTAGCAGTGGCATAATCAGTTCCACCATAATATTGGCCCCCTTTTAAAACATTTTTAAGGAAAAAATAAAAGACCTTTTAGGTAAGAATGAACGGTAATTACATAGTATCAATTATATACTACTAAAGTTGCTACACAAATAAACAATGTGGAAAATTACCAGTTTGAAATACAAATAAAAAAACTTTGCCATTATTACTAAAAGTCAAATTTGCTCTGATGTTTAAGAAACCAAGAAATAAAAGTATGTCTCACCTGAAACTAACAACAGGCCCAACCTCAGAAAAGATGTCCTTTAACTGTTCTTCGGTAGCTTCGTAAGGAATGTTTCCCACTAGGGGGAAAAAAAACAGATAATACTTTAATTTGGAGCTTGCAGATCTTTAGTTAAAGTGCAGTGTCCACTCACATCACTGACATAACAACAGGCTCAAAACAGTGTTCCTAAAATCTCAGTTGCAATGTACTTATTCAGGCCTCTTACTAAGTGAATAAACCATTGAGGCTAAACACAAAAGGTACAAGAATTGATGAATGTTAGTTTACAGATCTGTCTACTATTAGCTTGTTAAACTTTTGCTGAAATTAATATTGAGGCATCGGTATTTACCTGAAGGTCTGCAAGTTCTATCAATAATTACTCAGCAAGAAGGCCTCTAATAAACTGTTAAATATACCTTGATCACAACATACTAGACTCTCTACAGGGCTTATCTACACAATGTCATGATACATGTGAGGAGCAGAAAGCTGGAGTCAGGATTACACCTGAAGGACAACGGGGAGGAGAGAAGGGGGAAGGAGGAAAGCAAAGGGGAGAAGCACTATACCTGTAACACTATGTAGCGCAACATAAAAATAATAATAATAAAAAATGAAATTCTACCATTTGCAACAAAATGGTCCGAACTGCAGAGCATTATGCTCAATCAAATAAGCCAATCCCAAGAGGACAAATATCATGTTCTCTGTGTGTAACCTTCACACAAAAAATACAAACCGAATAACTACATAGGTGAACAAGTATAAGTATATTCTCATAGATGACCTGTACCATGGTGGTTAGCAAACAGGGAAGTTAAGATATGCTGCAATCTGTATCACCACTTCGGAATAAAAGGAGGACTCCTAAAGAAATGCTTAAAAATACCTTGACAATCTGATGCTAGATTTCCTACCTTTGTCTCTACCTACAATGCCATGGTGTAGGTGGGTAACATAATTTTGAACTTGTTACTGTTGCTGGAGGACTACACTACTGTAATTATCTGGAAGGGAACAATGGGAGGGGCAAATGGGTAGGGAGAAGGGCCAATTCCTATACCTACAATACTGTATCAGTGAACACAATAATTCAAAAAAATTTCAAAAATGTGTAGGATTTTGAAAATGAGTTCATATGTCCATATTTTCAGATGCATACACCCTTAAAGAAGAATGGCCACGACTCCTTTCGTACGTTAAAAAACAAAAAACAAAAACAAACTTATTCCAGCCGAACAAAATTACTCAGAACTGTTTTGGTCTTCTTTAAGTTCCTCTGAGGAGATCTTTATTATTATTCATTCATTTATTCACAGTCCCTTTCAGGAAGACAGATGATTAGTTGCCACTACCATTGAACTAAAACGTTACAACGAAGAAGCAAAGAATGAAAATTCCTACAATACAACGGAGAAGTGGACAGGGGAATCTATATACTCCACAAACAATCTGTATTCCGGGGGTGGTAAGTACTACGGGACAGTTCAGGACCACAGCCATGCACTCTCTCTTCTAGACAATAAGTGAAGCTCATAAAAGGAGAAATGGGTAAAGGCTGAACGTAAATCTAACTTCTTCAAGGATACTGCAGAAAGCCTGCGAAACCTCTGCAAAAGGGAGCGTCTTTGCCCGTGAGTCCACCAGTTGGCCGCCCCGGAGGTTACGTAGGGAGAGTGCCACAAGTTCCCGGGGCGATTCAAGAAGCATGGGGGTGCCGGGGGGAGCGGCCCTCCCCGAAGATACTTGACTGGACCAAATTCCTCTCACCAAATACTGAACGTAGAGAACGATCCACCGCTGGGTCTCTAACAGCCAAACCCGCCATCGCTCTACTCCGGCGTCTTCCGGTGCACTTCAGCACACTTCCGTACCGCGCGTGAGCCCAGCACCGACCACGCTTCCCTACGGCGCGTGAGCAGAAAACGACTGGGCGTGGCATACGCAAGGCCACGCCCCCAGCGTCATTCCGTCGCCTCTGAGCGTTCGTTACGTCCGTAAGACAGCTAACTGCTGCTGGGCTGGGCTGCGCTGAAGTCTGAGAGTAACTCTTTCTTGATTCCAATTCAGGCCGGGGCGGGCTAATTTGAAAGCTTTTAGCCTGCGAAATTCTTCTTGGTTTGTTATGTTTTTTCCGAAGGCTGACACCGACACTTGTCGAACACAGTAATGTCGGCCACGGCAGTTACCATGGTAACGATTTTTTTCCAGTGGTGCCCACGTCCTTTTGCTTAAACGGAATATGAAGTGAGATGGGGAAAGAGGCGCGCCAGACAAGACAATGAGAGAACGAGCAGCTCTGTAGGTCTAAGCATCTAACCAAAGGAGGTGAAAAAAGAAGGGGGGCGGGAAAAAAACAGATGCGTGTGTACACCGGTAACTCTAGGCTCCTTGTGCTAGGTGGAGAGGCATTGTCGCAGAGGATATTGGCAGGCAGGGTGTTGGAAACAGCAGAAAACGTTGAGCAAAGATACACACTTACTGTTCCTGGAACATCGCTTAACTGCAAAGTCAAGGTTGACTCCCCGAAGACAAATCCTACCCAAGTAAGAGGAAGCGCAGAAGTAGGCACAGGGTTAGGAGATGAAAAAAGAACTTGATAAGCCTTGGAAGAACTTCCTGTCTTCCAAAATAGAAAGATATCATAGAATAAACAAAGAATGTGAAGCATTGATGTTAAACTCCACATGTATTAGAAGTGCCAAATCCTGCTTGAGATAGTTTAAAAATTAGTTAAGGTGCCTCACACAGTGTCCTAGTGGCTAGATCCCATATGGGCACCAGTTTGTGTCCCAGCTGCTCCACTTCCCATCCAGCTCCCTGCTTGTGCACTGGGAAAGCAGTAGAGGACGGCCCAAAGCCTCGGATCCCTGCATCTGCATGGGAGACCAGGAAGAAGCTACTGGTTTCAGATCAGCCACTTGGGGAGTGAATTAGCAGATCTTCCTGTCCTTTTTTCCTGTAAATCTGCCTTTACAGTAAAAATAAATAAATCTTAAAAAAAAAAAAAGAAAAAAAGTAAGGTAAGGAGGTTTTTACCTGGTTGAGTGTGCCATTTCAACAATTGTGGCAAAGGTAACAAAGTTTTATAAATATAAATTTATAAATATATATGTGAAAAAGCAGATCAAGTTTACGGAGAGAGAGATGGGTATTTCATCCACTAGTTCACTCCCCAAATGGCTGCAATGGCTGGAGCTGATCCAATCTGAAGCCAGGAGCCTAGAGATTCTTTTGCATTTCCCACATGGGTACAGGATCCTGAGGCATTGGACCATCCTCTACTGTTTTCCCAGTGCAGATGCGGGGAGCTGGATGGGAAGTTGAATAGCCGGGATACCAACCTGTGCGTATTTGGGATCCTGGCATGGGCAAGGTGAGGATTTAGCCACTGGGCCACTGTGCTGAGCCCTGCAGATACTTTTTAAATGATGCTACTTTGTCACTTCTTATTTTCTGCTTTAAAAATGCCCACTTTGGCTCCTGATACATGGATATAATGTATTGTACTATAGTTTGGGATTTATCCTAATAGAGACCCTTGAGATTGGTAGATTCGTCAATCTGATCTCCCTCAAATTTGGAAAGATGTTGGCCATTTTCTTTCCCAAGTAATTCCTCTATTCCTTTGTCTCTTCACCTTTTGAGACTTCTCTGATTTGTATCACTTAGCCTGATTGTGTTTGATAAGTCTCTTAGGAACTGTCTACTTTCAGTAATTGCTTTTTCCCTTCCCAGCCTGTGTAATTTCAAAGGATATATCCTCCAGTTTATTGATTTTTCTTCTTTTCCTCTACTGCCAAACCACTCTTGTGACTTTTTCAATTTTGTGATTGTATTTTTACCATCAGAATTTATTTGCTTTCTTCTAGATAATGTTATTTTTGTATAGATTTCTTTCCTGATTTCCCATAATTGTTGGAGTTTTTCTTTAGTACTTTAAGCATATTTAAAGAAGTTGCATCATATTTGTCTGGCATGTCTGATGCCTGTTTTTTTTTAAAGATTTTTTAATTTTTATTGGACAGTCAGACATTCAGAGAGAAGGAGAGACAGAGAGGAAGATCTTCTGCCCACTGATTCACTCCCCAAGTGGCTGCAAAGGGCTGGAGCTGAGCTGATCCAAAACCAGGAGCCGGGAGCTTATTCTGGGTCACCCATGTGAGTTCAGGGTCCCAAGGATTTGGGCTGTCCTCCACTGCTTTCCCAGGCCACAAGCAGGGAGCTGGATGGGAAGCTGCTAGGATTAGAACTGGCGCCCACAAGGGATCCCAGTGTGTTCAAGGTGAGGACGTTAGCCACTAAGCTAGTGCACTGGGCCCTGCCTATATTTTTTTTCAAAGAGTTTCCACATTGTTTTTGCTGCAAATTAGCTGATTTTATCCCCAAAATGAGTTGGAGGCAAACTTTTACAAGCTAAGGAATCTTCATTCGCTGGCTGACAGACTGCCCCATACCAGTACAAGTGGAACAGGGGAGCAACCCCAAATAACAGCTGTCACAATTTTTTTTTTTTTACCTCACTCTGGCATGAGAAAACTAGCCAATCAACTAACATTGGTATGGGTGCAAAAGACTATGCGATGAACTAGGCTAACATTGGTGCAGTGTGACAAAAGGGGAACTGTCAGAAATTCTTGTCTTCTCCTGGTTAGACACATTTCTTTCCCAGGGTTGCTCTTGTTGTCTTATCGGAACCACAGGAACACCCAAGCTCAGAACCAGCCAATTGGTTGGTAAAGTTGGTGATAAATGCACAAAAGACCCGTGTTTTAGCCTGGAGAAATTTTGTAGCTGAGTGTTAATCTGAGGATAAGAGAAAGGTCGACTACCTGCATCCCAACTGACAAGCAGCACTAGCAGAAACAATAAGATTGTTACTTATGTTACTCTATCTCTAATCTCTCTCATTCCCTGGGAGGCCTGCGTCAAACAGGTTGCAACTTTCAGAGGCTCTGCCAGACAAAGAGTAAGATCCCATCCCAGAATGAGATATTTTCTTGTGATACATACTCTCACTCTTGCAAAGGACTCCTCTAGAACTCGAGGTTATAGCAAGGGTCAAGACATGGACATTTCAGAATACTTTAGGGGGCCCAGCTTCACTTTCACCATTTTATGTCACCTGGGCTGCCACATTTGTGTGTGTGGGGGGGGTGGGGGGTGGGTGCTGTGTTTTCCTGTTTCTTTGTATATATGGTGATTATTTTTTATTGTTGAAAAGTGGGCATTTCAAAGAACAGCAATGTTGCCCACGTTTTATGGATTGGCTCTATACCAGGACGAACCTTCATAACAGGACATGCTTTATTTCTTGGGTTTTTCTCAGGCCTTTTCTGGATGTGTGTTTATTACCCAGTCTGGATGCATGGATGCTTTTAAATGTCCTGATTTCCTAGAATCTCACCCCTGCTTCTTGGGGGTGGAGGGCTGGACCTTCTACTGCATTCTAAATTAAATCTCTTGTTCCAGATGGGCAGCTTTTCATGACCAGTGCATACTGCTTCTGGTTGCTTTTCCTAGCTAGAGATGCAAGCTTTGCCCTGTGTGAGTTAGATGAAAGAGAAATCCATTCTAGGCATTTCCTAGACAGACTAGAATGGTGCAAATAAAGTCTGTTTTAATCTCTTCCTGGGAGGCAATTGACTCCTAGGCCTCCCCTAAGTCTTCACAGAGAAAGGATGGTTAGACTGCAGGCAAGTATAAATGCCACGAAATTTCCCGCTGTTCTGAATGCACTTTTATTTTTTATTTTTTTAAAAAAAGATTTACTTATTTTTGTTACAAAGTCAGATATACAGAGAGGAGGAGAGACAGAGAGGAAGATCTTCCCTCTGATGATTCACTCCCCAAGTGAGCCGCAACGGCTGGTACTGCACTGATTTGAAGCCGGAACCAGGAACCTCTTCCGGGTCTCCCATGCGGATGCAGGGTCCCAAAGCTTTGGGCCGTCCTCCACTGCTTTCCCAGGCTACAAGCAGGGAGCTGGATGAGAAGTGGAGCTGCCGGGATTAGAACTGGCACCCATATGGGATCCCGGCACGTTCAAGGCAAGGACTTTAGCCGCTAGGCCACGCCGCCGGACCCGCACTTTCATTTTTTTAACCTGATATTTTCTGGGTTGCTGTAGATCTAGAGCTATGTTCTAGACTTTTTATAAGTTGTTTTAGTCAATATATGATTGTTTTTAAGTGTCTCTGTGCAGAAGAAGGAAGTGCTGGAGATTCCTATCATGCCATCTTGCATATGCCACTCAGAAAGTGTGTTTTATGAGATTTTACAAGTAATAGGGAATACAGATGAGACTTAGCTCTTTGTTCCCTGTTTTTTTGATGTTTCTAAAAAATTTTTGTATTTTGGTATAATTTTATGTATACTAAAAAGGTATAAAGGTATTTCCCCTAACCTGCACATAGCTTTATTAACATCTTAGATCAGAAAGGTACGTTTGTTAAAATTAATAAGTCAGTGTTCACTGAATTCCACGGTTTGTTCAGATTTCCTTAGTTTTTATCTAATGTGTTTTTATATTCCAGAATTAATTTTACTATGCCAAATTCCATTTTGTTGTCTTGTGTCTGTATGCTCTCTTGACCGGGACAGTTTATTGGACTTTGCTTGTTTTGATGACACCGATGGCATTCTGTTGGGGAGTACTGCTCAGAATATTGTATGTTTATTTATGTATTTATTTATCTGAGAGAGGGAGACAGAGACCGATTGAGATGCAGTGCTTCCATCTGCTGGTTCATTTCCCAGATGCCAGTGATGGCTGTTGTTGGGCCTGGGTCAAAGCCAGGAGGTAGGATCTCAATCCAGGTTTCCCATTTGGGTAACAGGAATCTAACTCCTTG